ATCTATCTATCACTTATCTTTCTATCATTGTATCTATCATTTATCTTTCTATCATTTATCTTTCTATCATCTCTCTATCATCTGTCTATTATCTATCATCTACCTTTCTATCCATCATCTATGTATGTATGTATGTATCTATCTGTCTATCATCTATCTATCTATCATCTCTCTCTCTCTCTCTCATATCTCAGACAAGAGGGGATATGCATTCCTTGTTTTTCTGAGTCTGGCTTATTCACTTACCATAATTGCTCCAGTTCCACCCATTTTTCCACAGATCACAGGACCCATTCTTCTTCACCAGACCTTGTCCATTTTCTTATGCCCTGTTCAGAAGCATATTCCTGTACCAGTCACTTCTTGTTATTGATGCTGCTAACAAAACAATTTAGCTTGGCTACTTTCATCACCCTATGGATTCTATGGGTGAAGAATTCGGAAAGGATCCAGTGAGTGGGGTTTAGTTCTGTTTCGTGTACCTGGGCCGCTGCTGAGACAACACAAAGGCCACAGGGAAATGATGGTTGGAGGCAAGGGTCAGTGGAGGCCTTGTCTTTCATGAGAACGCTATTGATGCTGCTGTTTCTTGGGACATCTCCTGGTGCTGTAGGTCAGTATAATTGTGTGAGGACTGCTCAGGTGGACTGGTTCCTTCTAACGGTGGTCTTAGACTTTTTACAGCACCCAAGGCCAGAGGCTCCAGAGGAACAGTATGAACTGTGTTGACGTTGATATCCTCACCTGGAGGACACCATTGCTTCCTCTGTGCTGCATTGGTCTACTTGTCACATGACCTCCCACATTTGAGGGCAAGGTGATGTAGACTCTACTTTTCAATGGAAGCAATGTCAAGGAATTTGGGGATGTGTTAAAGCACCACTAGTCTGAGTTGATGCCTCTCTCTCTCAGCTATTCTCCCCTCTCTATCTTTTTATGAGTGCCAGTGAAATCTACCATGTATTCTGTATTCATGCAGAAGTATTCTTTCTGGAATCCATTTGTTGCTCTTGTACCCCTGTTTTGGGTACCCTTACATTAGGTAACCCTACCTAAAGCTGAATTCATGAAGAAGTTTTCTGTTAAAGAGTTGAGTTCCATTCATACTATCTTTAAGTGGGGATTGAGAAATGGAAAGTTGTTCCCTGTAGGGAAATCTGAGCACTGGCATTGGCTTGCATTGAGAGTCACTGTAATACATTTTTTTGGTGGTACTGGGATTTGAGCTCAGGGCTTTGCACTTGCTAGGCAGACACTACCACTTGAGCCACTCTTCCAACCCTGTAATACACTTTAGTTGAGCATTGAATGATCTAGAAAAAAGGAAAGACCATCTTTGTTGTTAGAAAAACAGTGATGGTGATTGTAAAAGGGGAACTCTTTGTGAAAAGAGAGGGATTTGGGGTGAATATGACTGAAGCACATCTTGTATTTTACATGGGAAAACAACGTAATGAGACCTGCTAAAAACTGTTTTTAAAAGAGGGGGGAGAAGGAAGGGTGTTAAGAAAGAGTACTAGAGGGGGTGAATTTGATCAAAGTACATTTTATGCATATATGGAAGTATCATAATGAAATCCCTTTGAACAATTAAAATTTTGCTAGCAAAAAAAAAACATAAAAAAAAAGAAAGAGGCCAGACTCCATGACTAGCCTGTAATCGTAACTACTCAGGAGATAGAGATTGGAAGGATTATATTTGGGAGCCAGAAGTTCACAAGACCCAAAAGTTCACGAGACCCCATCTCAACCAATGGTTGGGTGCAGTGCAGTGGTGAGCACCTGTGATCATAGCTACATGGGGAAGCACATACTGAGACCCTCATCTCAAAAATAACCAACACAAAAAGGGCTGGCGGAGTAGCTCAAGTGGTGGAGAGCCTGTCTTGGAAATGCAAGACCCTGAGTTCAATGCTCACTTACCCACCCCCCCCCAAAAAAAAGAAAAAAGAAAAAAATTGTGCCAATTTAAGCCAATAGTCTCCGGACAGCAAGGAAAGGTTATTCAAGGTAGGGAGAAGTTAATGAGTGACTTCAGATTGCTATTACTCAAGAAATAAAAGGAAAAATTAGATTCTAGCACTGATAAATTAATTGATTCTGGTAGTCCAAGCATATTTACGGTATCAATAAATAGAAAAAAATTAAAAATCAGTGAGGTTCCCAAAGAATGTTCTCATGGGAGAAACTAGTTTTATGTCAAGGGAATTTTTTTTTGTTTCATTCAAAACATTTGAAAGCAGACAGGGCTTTTGCATTCTAAGCAGAAGTCTAGATAGTTTGGTGGAGGAACCAAATTGCTTCTTGCTGGGGAAACAGATCTGATCAGAAAGAATATGTCTGAGTCTCTTTTCCTCATTTTTTTTTTTTTTTTGCAGTTCCGGGACTTGAACTCAGGGGCTATTCCTTGAGCCACTCCACCAGCCCTTTTTTGTGATGGGTTTTTTCGAGATAGGGTCTCATGAACTATTTGCCTGGGGCTGACTTTGAACCTCGGTCCCTCTGATCTCTGCCTCCTGTGTTGCTAGGATTACAGATGTGAGCACCTGGCTCTGTTTTCCTTTTTAGTTTCATGTCAATATTGCTAACAAGATGGACACCACCATTCCTGAGTCTTTATGACATCCCAGTCACACAGCATTGCCTGGGAGGATTCTATGTGTGCACTAAAATTTAACAGAAGAGTGAATATGGCACCATAAGGTGAACCGTAACCAGGTTTGAGTTGCCTGGCATTGATTCCCCTTCTTTTCTGTGATGGTTAGCTCTGCAGTTGTGGCTTGGCTGTCCCCTTTCTATGTCCATGTGCTCAGAGGATGTGATCCCTGCAGCCAGATGCAGAGGAGTGGCCTGATAGGTTTCAATGAGTTAGCACAGCCTCTCCTAGTCCATGTATGGGCACAGAATGAGGTTGGAACAGTAAGAAGCAAGGACATGGGGTTGAGGTCCCTTTCCAGGTGCTTCCCCTCTTTTGAAAGTGTCATCAGGATAAATCTTCCTTCGGGGTGTGAAGATGCAAAAGTCCAGAAAGTGTGCCTCAGGCTTTTTCAAAATGCAGAACATACAAGACATCACTATTTGAGTTTCACTCACATACTTACCTTTCTATTGGTACTTTTTATTTCTTTTGGACTATTGTGCTTTCATTTACCATTATTTTCTTTTTACCTGAACAACTTTCTAATATTTCTTTAGATATAAGTATCCTGGAAATAATTTATATCAATTTATTTGTCTGAAAACATCTTTATTTTGCCTTTATTTCTTAAGGATATTTCCACTGCATGGAAGACTCTGGATCTGTGGTCATTTCAAGCATATTGGAAGTATTCCATTGCTACCTTGCTTCTGTTTTTTTTTCTTGTGAGAAGACAGCTTATGATGTAATTGTTGAAGTTTTTGAATTTTTCTCAAGCTGCTTTAAGATTTCCCTTTTGTCTTTAGCATTTTGCTATATTTTTAAAATATGATTTTTCTTTGTGTTTATCCTTTGTGGCATTAGCAGAGCTCTTGATTCAGTGGTTGTTTTGTCAGAAAATTTGTGGCTAGAATCTTCTTGTTTCTGCTCCTTTTTCTCATGGTCTACATTTTGAAGTTCACTTACTTCATTTATTGGGTGAGACAGTTTCACATTTCCCCTACATATGTCATTTAAAAAATCTTTCTTTATTCTGAGCTTCAGTTTTGTTATTTATTTAGTTTAAAGGAAAATCAGCAGACCTCAAGATTGACTAATGCAGAAGAGTTGCCTTGTTTTTATGAGATTTTTACAGACACTTTTGCCAACAATATGCAGAAAAATACTTCTCTGACTCCCCAACTCCTTGCTGGAGACAATAACCACTGACAACTCCATTCCCCTCTCACTTGTCTAGGAATTAATTCAGACTTATTAAACTGCAATTCATTTTACATGGTGAATTGTCAGTCTACAAATTTATAAGCAAACTTCCTTTGGGGTGTTTTACAAGTTTTCAGGTAAGCTTTTTGTTTGTAACAATGATTGAGGAGGGGAGAGGATGACTAGCTTTTATTGGACTGGGGCAATGCAGAGGACAGTCCCTTATAAGGATCAATAGTTGTATGTCATGCATGACTTCCATCTGTCCCACTGATACACTCAGGTAGGTGATGTGCTGCTAATAATGAATCATCCAGTACCCCGACTTTCTCTTACCTATGAACCCTTAGGTTTTTTGTTTGTTTGTTTCTGATCATTTAGATGGAGATTGAATTCTCTGTGACCGTAAGCAGAGGGGAATGTGTGCTCTGTTTATTTGGAACTCTGTGGAGAGCTGGCCAAATTTTGGAAAATCAGGACTACCTTACTCTGCTCGCAGCACTTTTGATGCTTGCATAATTCATCCATTGCCAGGAAAGCAACACAGGGTCTGAAGTGTATTTGAGGTGATTCTGCAGTCAGATGCAAACATCTGATCACTTCATTGGTTCTAGCTTTCATAATGAAATTTATTATTTTGTTACAAATTCCCTTCCTTGGGCTTGGGGAGTGGCTCAAGCCTGGCAAGTACAAGGCCCTGAGTTCAAATCTCAGATCCCCAAAACATACAAAAAATTACCTTCCTTTATCTCTTCTTTACATTGAAGTTGGAGCTTTGCTTAGTATAATAGTTCAATAACTATAAGTACATGCTATTACTTGCTAATTTTAGCTCAAAATATAATTTCATTTCTAGACTTTTGTAATAGTCTGATAGGTTGAGATCAACTAGAGCAGAGTTACAATATTTAGTAATTTATTTCAACACATGGATAAGACCCAACACGAAGACGCCGTTATTACTATTCTTTATTTTTACTATTCTTTTAAAGAAATCACCATTACTCCACAGAGTGGTTTTTCTCTTCTATCCGGTGGACCGCTTGCAGGCAGGAACCTTAGTGACCTGGGTCAGAGTTGCTCTCCAGTAGTCATTGTGGTTACACAGCCCGGAACCTTGGCGAGGAGATCCTAGTTTCCGGCGGGATTTTTAGAGCGACGAACAGCATCGGGCCGCGGGACCATGAGAGGACCGGAGCCGGGTCCCGAGGCTACAATGGAGGGGGACGTGCTGGACACACTGGAGGCCCTGGGGTGAGCGTCCGGGGGACCCTTTCGGTGGAGCGCGCAGCCTCTCCTTGCACACAGGCGGGGCTCCTCCGCCGCTTGTTCCTGCAGCCTGACCGAGTGAAGCGGGAGCGGGGAGGATGCGCGCCGGGCCCGGCCCGGTCGCAGGTGTATCGCGTTGACGTCGTCGTCGTCCTCGGGGGATGGGCTGGGCCCGGAGCTGTGGCCGGGGATACTGGGGACTGTCCCACTCCCTCCGTGTACAACCAGGGGCGTCCCTCGTGCTGACGGGGAAGCGTTTTAGTTCAGTGCGAGGCTATCGCCGAGCCTGTGGGCGGGTGTGAAAGAGAAAAGAGTTTTCTGGTTACTCTCAGCTTGTATGGTCGTGGGAGCTAAAAAGCTCGTGCTATCTTCGGCTGTGGGCTACTAGGGATGCTGCACGCCGGGAGACCTCGTGGGGGGCGTGGGGGGGCTAAGGGATGGGACTCACATGTGCAGTGTTAGCCTGCTTCCTTCACAGTCCTCGCCCTATCTCTGTCCATTTATTTGTCCCTCGAACTTCACTCTTTTGCCTTTTCTCCTTCCCCGCCCCCACGCCCCCCCTTCCCCACCCCCCGCCCCAAGCCCAAGTCAGTTCTTGGAAAACAGGCGCCTTGCCTGTTCAGTTCACTGGTAGATTCCTGGCAACACCCCAGAACGAGGCTGGCACGGTAAATAATGGCTGATTGGGTGACGAATGAAGAAGGGTTCAAAGGAGTCAGTATAGGGTCAGAAGGTTTTGGGAGTCCAAAAAAAGAAAGCCAACCAAACTTGAACAACGACAACAAAAACCCACTAACTAATGAGCTTGGAGCCTTTTGCAGTTTTTGTGCGGCTGCAGCCAGCTTTTCTTCATAGGGTGAGCTGTGTGGGAGAGTGGATTTGAGAGTTAGGTGAGGACCAGGACTTGCAGATCTTTTAGCCTGTGCTGTGAATTGTATGTTTTATCTGATAGCAACTAGGCATGAGTGAGGGATTTTAGGTTAAAGAGGGATTGATCAGGTACCTAATTTGAAAGCTGTATCTGTCCAAATGGGTTGGAGAATTTAGTAGGCTGGGAAAGAGATGATGGTGCAGTGGTTATGGAAGGAATTGTGTTACAGGACTTAATGCTTGATTATTGGGTATTAGAACTCAGCTCATTTCTTCAGTTACTATTAAAGTGAAGACAGGAGGGAACTAGTAAGTACAGAAAATGCAGAGGGACCAATGGAGTGGAGGTGCTGATGAGATCCAAGACTGGTGGGCGAGTGTTCAGAAAAGCCCATGGGGAGGATAGGTAGTAGGTTGTGATCTGGGAGTGGTGCGTTTGGATTTGTGATTTGGGAGGTGAGGTGGTCTAGTGGAGGGAGGCTGCAAGGGTGACAGTGTGACATGAGGTGTAGTAGGTTGGTAAGGAGGAAGTTGGGGAACTCAGTGTAATGCTAGGAATAGGGACGGAGAGGAGAACTTACAAAGGGATGTGGAGGGGTGCCTGACAGCTTCACAGGTGAAAACCATGAGAGAGACAAGATGGCTAATCTGACAGGCTGGAGGTACTTCTAAGATGATGGTGGAGCTGTGATGTGGATGCTGTATTGGAAAGCAGGACAAGTCCCTCCCATCTGACCTTGAGCAGTTTGAGAGTGAAAGTAAGGTGGGCAATATAGGAGAGTTGTTTGTGGACAGAACACAGTGGCTGAGTAAGTGAAGCAGGGAAGGGTGGAGGCAAGGCCAGCAGGGTCGGTAAATGTCAAAGAGAATGAGTCTCATACTCTCTGGGGTGGCTGATCAAAGTAGAAAGCAGAAAATACATCAGTCTGCGATGTCTCTGAGGAATGGTGCCAGTAGCCTTGATGGACCAAAGATGTGGATCATACATAGCTTGCAGTACGGTTCCTCAAAGAGGTATGGCAGCTGGGGTCCTAGGCCTGCGAGTGGTGTCCCCAGTGTTGGCGATAACAGTATCACTTTCCTAATTAAGAATGTATAGAATAAACTAGGAGTATGTGTATTCTCTCAGAAAATAGCAGAGTGTCATTGAAAATCAAAGGCAGCATGAAATGAAAGCAGTAAGCCCCAAACAGTTGCTATTTGGAGCATAAATAGACTTTTAAATACTTAATATGTTTTCTCACTGACTGCAAGAGAAGAATGAAAAGTGATGATGAATATTGAGAGAGATTTTGGTAAAAGTAGAAAAGGTCCTGCAGTGCTGTGCTGCTTAATGAGAGGTGTGTGGGTGAGGAGCATGGACGTGCCCTGGGGTAGGGATGCAGTGCCCAGTCCTCATTCAGCCCTACTGATTGGCACGGGAAGACTCAAGAAGTGCTGCTCTCATGAGTTACGCGAGTTCATACTCTTGTCTGAGAGACTCCTCTACTGTGTAAAACACTTAGGAAGGTGCATTTCTGGATGGTGACAACACAATGGGGATTAAGAATGCTGGCTGTAGGGATATAAACATGGTTCAGTTCCTAAGCAGTTGTTAGCCCTGTTGTGGCAATCCTGGGTAAGTTATTCATCTCTTTGATACTCAGTTTCCTCATCCATAAAATGAGGTTAACGTACTTACTGTGTAGGGTGTGATTGCAGTTAGATGAGGTAATATTCATACAGCACTATGAAAATGAATATGAATAGCCTGGGCTAGCGCATGGTGAGCAGCTTATAAATGTTAGTCCTGTTTTGAGTATTATTAGATGTTTAGGTTTGTTAAATGCATTGCTTTTTTTTCATTTTTATCTTGCTTGATGAGCTAAGGCAATGAGAATTTTTTTACTCTAAATTCAATATTTTTACTGATTTGATTAGTTTCTGTTGAATTTTGTAATTCATTTCTGTAAAAAGTGTAACTGTCAATAAGAAATATGTAGTTCGATTTATTTATGAGTTTATGATGATTGCTTTATTGCTAAGATGTTTACTATTAGATCTTAGATGCTCTGTAAAGTCACAGAGGAAGGGGTAACACAAGAGGACACAGCCTTGGGCTGGATGTACAGAGGAGGGTCCAGTCTCAGCTCTGCCTTCTCCTGGCTGCATCATCCTGGCCAGGTTATTTGCTCCGTTTCCTTGACAGAGGTTTAAGAGTTCACATGGAGTGTTTGGGGTCAAATTTGGATTTGAGTCCTTGGGCCATCACTTAGTTATTTATCTTCTGACCTTATAGAAAAAGGAAGATAATAACTTTGAAGCATCGCTGTAAAGAATAAATGGATTATAAGCCTGTATATGCCTAGCACTGTGCCTGGTCTGCTCCTGAAGGCAGGCATTCTACCTCGTTGAGTCTTAATTTCATTCTTTACCTGCAGAATGAAAATACTCTGCATGGGATTCAACTAGAGAACTCAGAGAAAAAGAAATGCAAATGACCCTTAAACATACAAAGATATATTCCCTTGCACTTAAGAGAAACGTCAATTAAAATGATATTGACCTATCAGATGGTCAAAAATCTAAAGATTTGACAACTCTGGTGAGTTGTAAGGGAATTAGTTCTCTTGATACCTTGATGGTACAACTTCCACAGATGAAAATTTAATGTTTAGCAAAATTATATATCCACTTAACCCTTTGACCCAATAAGCCCACCTTTAGAAAAAACTTTGCCAAACAGTAATAGCAGAACACCAAATATCCTCCATTAGAAGCTGATTAAGTAAGGTATGTTGCATCCAGACAGTTGGGTACTATACAACTATAAAAAAAGATCGAATCATATGTCCAAGTACTCATCTCCAGTTTATGCAGATGTGTGTGTGCAGCATGTGAACCTTCAGCAAGGAATGAAACAGTATGTAGTAGGCCACCTTTACTTTAAAAAGGAGAGCAGTATACATGCTTATATTTGTTCAATATTATGGAAGGACAACCAAGAACTTACAAATCTGGTCATCTATGGGGTAGGGGCAGGCAGAATAGTGAGAATAAGGTAAGATTAGTGCAAACTAAATTTGAATGTTTTTTGTGTTGTAAATTAGACTTTAAAACTACATAAATATTTTACATGATTACAAAGCAAAATTAAATAAAAATGAAGCCTAAACAAAGAAGCCAGTCCCTAAAAATGAAGCAAATGTCTGTCACTATACTGAGTAGGTAGATGAATTGCAGGGAAACGAATTGTTTTCTGTTCATTCTTACTAGATTTTGCGGTAGATCGTTGTATCTGCTGGTGTATGGTTCCAAGGAGACTGAAGTTGAGGAAGAAGCATGCATGCTCTGTATGCATAGAGTTCTGAACTAAAATTACTCAAGTTTACCCGTACTGTATGTACGGCAGTTCTGAGCATCATGACTTGACATGCAGGCTGTGCTGGCCACTTTCCTTGCTGCCACCTTCGACAGACGGTGCATTAATACAGTTATCAACTGTATTATCAACTGCTCCAGTGAGATAATGTACCAAAACAGGCAGCAGCTTGATAGAGAGTGTTGCTAGAGGGTCCCCACTTTAAAAAACTATAAAGCTGTTTATTTCTTCCTTTCCAGATATAAGGGACCGCTGTCAGAAGAACAAGCCCTCACCAAGGCTGCCGAGGGTGGACTCTCCTCACCTGAGTTTTCAGAGCTCTGTATTTGGCTAGGCTCTCAAATAAAATCATTATGCAACTTGGAAGAGAGCATCACTTCAGCTGGTAACGTTGTTATGTTTGCTTTGCCTTTCTGCCTAGGAGTGAAGTGAACTGGTAGTTTTTAACTTACACTTTTAACTTACACTGTAGAAAGAAAAACTATTACTGTGAAGAACTTCAGTATGGCACATTAAAAATCTTTGAGTAAATTGTATGTGAGCCCAAAATTGATTCTTAAATTTGCTAGAAAATTCTGTCTGCTGTCTTAACCTTACTATTACTCTTTGGAAAAAAGTAGAGTTTGAATTTAAAAAATTAGCTGGGCACCAGTAGCTTACACCTATTATAATCCTAGCTACTCAGGAGGCAGAGATCAGGAGGATGGCAGTTTGAAGCCAGCCCAGGCAAATAATTCTTGAGACCCTATCTCAAAAAAAAAAAAAAAAAAAAAAAAATCACAAAAAATGGCTGGTGGAGTGGCACAAGGTGAAGGCCCTGAGTTCAAGCCCCAGTACTGAAAAAAAGAAAAAAAAATTTAATTTTTGAATGTGACTTTGTGTGTGGCGGCGGGGGGGTGTCGATCTTGGGGCTCAAACTCAGGGCCTCATACACATTAGGATGCTAAGCACATGCTCCCACTGGGCTATATCCCCATCCCTAAATGTAACTCATTTTAAATTAAGCTGTTTTCATATATGCCCTGTAACTCAGGACATGGATTCTTATAGAAATACTTTGATCAAAACATTCTTCCTAGCTCATCAGGCTTGTTGTTTAGTTCATCACCACCTTGTAACCGGAGTCCTTGTGAATCTTCAGTAGAATTTCAAACTGCGATAAAATGAGAAAGGATGTTGGGTGGTCGCTGGGAAAAAAGCAGTGTTCCTTTCTGAAACTGTTCTTCTAAATTATGTTTTTCCTTGCCAAATATAACAATTCACTTGAAGTGAAGTAAGATATTTGAATTCAAAACATGACTAAGTTTCATTATAATTACATGATGAATTAAAAAACAAGCCTGGCACTGGTGGCTCACGCCTGTCATCGTAGCTACTTGTGAGGCTGAGATTGGAAGGATCATGCTACCAAGCCAGTCTGGGCAAAAAGAGTTCACAAGAACCCATCTCAACAAGAAAAACTTGGTGTGGTGGCCCTAGCCTGTCATTCCAGAGACTGCATGAAATAGGTCTCTGTTGCAGTCTGGCTGGCCTGAGCAAAAAATGAGAGCCTGTCTCCAAAATAGCCAGAGCAAAAACAGCTGATGATGTGGCTCAAGCAGTAGAGTACCTGTCTGGCAAGCGTGAATCCCTGAGTTCAAACTGAAGTACCACCAACAAAAAAAAACAAAAACAATAAAAACCTCAGTGATTAATTAGATGACCACGCTTATTGTCTATATCCATAGAGTACAGTGGAAGTGGATCATTTGCTCTGAAGCCAGTTAGTAATTGTATCCCTAATAATACTTTTAATATTTCAGTTGCTAACAGCAAGTATTCTGTTTACTTGACTTTATGAAGAATCCATTGGGAGATACTTGTCAGATTTAAATACGAAAGCATTTGCACTCTTAGGATTACTTGTGTTCTCAAGTTGATAGCGATGTTTTTAAATTCCAGCATTGCTTTCTGTATGCAGGCATTGTCCGGTTGCCTTTACCCCAGCTTTGCCACCATGTATGTAAGGATTGAACGTGAAAGTGGACATGCAGAATTGAGTGGAGATTGAAGTCAGCTAGTACCAGGTTTTGCAGCACCAGCTTGATTGGGCAGTCAGTCCACATCTCACTACATGCCTTATGCTTTCTTTTTTAAAGGGAGAGATGACCTGGAGAGCTTCCAACTTGAGATAAGTGGTTTTTTAAAAGAAATGGCCTGTCCATATTCTGGACTCGTATCAGGAGATATTAAAGAGCGTTTAAAAAAGAAGGATGACTGTTTGAAACTTCTGTGTAAGTTTTCTTTCCTTGGACATTTGAATGCATTGTTTGATCTGTTTTTTTGTATGTATTCAAGTCAAAATTTGTGCAATTTCATTAATGAAACATTAGCCATTTTGTATATTAAAACAGTTTAGTATTTGAGTAAAAATTTTAAGCTGTCTTAACAAATGTTTGCACGAATGTAGTTTTAATTCTTTTGGTTACCCTGGCATATTTCCTAGGCATGTACATATGCATGTGTGCATACACACATGTACACACACACACACACACACACACACACACACACACCGAGGAATGGTTACAGATGGGTTCATTTCCCTTTTCCCCCTCATTTCATGTCCTCTGCTTCATTTTTCAGTCACTTATTATTTTAAAAAATGTTTTAAATTGACTGTATTACCTTCTGTTGAAATAACATTTTTATTTAATAGATTTTAAGTTTGGAGGTATTTGGATTTTTTTTCTATTTTAAAATAATTTCTTTGTATATATTTCTGTTTACTTTTACTTATACAAAGACTATGAACATATTAAAACAAAACCTCTCGTCCTGATATATATTGTAATACTTTACTTCAGAAATGTTACACCAGTTCACAGGCTTTCCAGCATTTGTTTTTTCTATATTTTTAGTTTTACTATTTTAGTCAATATCATGTTAACTATTTTAATCATTTAATCATATAATTGAATGATGCTTTATCCTGAAAGTGTCGCCAACATGTATAAAATAAAAAGGGCAAATTCCTTACCATGTGAAGAGCTTTTGTGAACCAAGAAGAAAAAGTTGACAGTTTCATTAGAAAAGGGTGTAAAGTGTGTAAGACGTGAACTTGTATTCTATAGAAAACCAATCTTTTAAGTTGCTTACAAACATAAAAAGATGCACAGAATTACTTAAAGTTATAAAATAAAATGACAGGGTGCCATTTCTCACTTACTATGTTAGGAAAGACCATCTTTTGGGAAAAAAAAAAAAATCACAATGCCAGTTTGTAGAAAACACATTCTCATACACTGTAGACGTTAGAGCGTGATGGTTGAATAACTGGTCTCTTTTAGTAGAACAGATTTTCAAAATCATAGTTAAAATTCACCCATTGTTTGTCCTGGCAATTCTGCATCTTTGTGTACAAAGGAACATGGAAAGGATGTGTATTATTGTTTGTGGTAGCAAAAAGACTGAAAATCTGAGTGTCTGAGTGTAAATAGTTAAATATTCAGTGATACTATCATAGTCAGTAGACAAAATGAAAATAAATCAACTGCACTGATGTGGAATAATCCCTGAGGTGTGTGAGTGGTGATGGATACATAGTGCAGAACACATATAGTGGGTCTTGTTTGTATAAAGAGACAAAAGTGCACAGATGTGTATATGTATACTGAATGCACACATGTGTGCCTAAGAAGATACCTCAGACACTGATAAAATGGCAGCTGCCCCTGGGAGGGTAGTGGAGCCTGAGGATCTGTGGTAGGAACACAACTTTCTTTTCCCTGCACTTTTGCTGGCTACACAAATTAGTTTTCTAAATACTGGACAGAATCTATTTATTTATTTAATTTATTTATGAGACAGGGTCTTGTTTTGTAGCCCAGGCTGACCTTGAACTCTTTCTTAGTCTTTCCTCAGCCTCCTGAGTGCTGAGTGCCACCAGGCCTGGCTGAACTGAATTCTTGACCATGCTCCTGTGTAGAGCATGCTTCCATAAAACAGTGACAGTCTTCAGTTCTTCCCAAAGATACATTTTTGATGAAATGGTGATCTGTTTCATGAGGGTTTTAAACCAGAGGGACCTTGTTAAATGTTGATTTGCTGCTGGGCCTCACCTCTGGACTTGACCTTTTTGAGGGTAGACACTCTTACTTGACTTGGCATCTCTGTTACCTACATGGTGCCTGACTCAGAATAGGTCCTTGGTTAAGTGTGTGCTTAGTGAGATAACAATCTACATCCTTTAATAAATTAATTAAAATGGAACTGAAACCAGCTTGTATGACATTGAGACTAAAATGAACCGTTCATTCCTTTTTTCCCTGGTGGTATTAAATAAATTGATTTTTTTCCTGGTGTCTTTTTTTTGTTACTCATTTACCTGTTCGGAGCTAATTCTTAGACTAAGCTGTGCAGATAGAATAGACAGAAGTGCAGCTGACCTGCTGTGGGGCCTGGCAGCTTGCCCTAAGGTAGCTGCTTAGGCCTCTCCAGCAAAAACATGAGCGGCAGTGTGAGATTGAGTGTCTGTTCTGTGCAGCTTTAGATGATTGTTTTTCCCCACATTTCATTTTTAAGTTTACTGGTCCTACAGCTGTTGATATTTCCTCTGCTGAAACTTGTTTTAAATAGTTTTTAGCAAAATATTTAAAATTCTCATTCATGTATTAACATTATTCATTTTAACCTTTTATTATAGTATTTTTAAGTACAGAACTTCAAGCTTTACGGATAATACAGAACAAGAAATGTAAAAATTCTCAATTAGATAAAAACAGTGAAATTTATCAGGAAGTTCAAGCTATGTGCGAGACCCTTGGTATACCGGAGTCACCTGCTTCTGACATTCTGCTTATGCTAAACCAAGTGGAATCAAAGGTATTATATTTACTTTATTTTTATTTTCCTCCAAATTCAACTACATGCTAACATAAAAATGCTGTATTAAGAAGGAAAGTATTCCCTTTAAGTGTGAAGTGAACATGTTTGGACAGAAGTTTGTCTTGCTGGGGGTGCAGCTCAGTGGTAGAGTTGCCTAATGCGCAAAGCCCTGGGTTCAATCTCCACACAAAACCAAAGCCAAAACCAAAATGAAATACTCCCAAAAGAGGGGTATTTGTCTATAGCTAGTGTTCAGTAACCAGTTTCATAGCCATGGTTGTAATACAGTATAATGAGAAAGGAGTTACCCCACAACGTCAAAGGGCAAACTAAACTTTTTAGTGGATGTTGTGGTATGGTTATTTGGCACTGAGCAAACACGTTTTTTTGATAATGTATTGCAGAGTGAATGAGTGAACGAATACTCTGATGGAGTATTAAAAACATCCACAAGTCTTGTACTGCATGCATTTCACCACTGTACTGTCTGGCTGTTTACCTAGAAGGCCTTCCCATACCATTCAGTTCCTCTCAGTAGTAAAAATTCCCTTATTTTTTTTCTTTTATATGTGTTGCTCCCACAAGACACTTTGTTATTATTGGCAAAGAACATTTGTTATCAGGAGAAAATGTTTATTTTCTAACTTAAAGGTGTTGAAACGAACAGTGGATATGCACTGGTTACCGCTCTAAATGTTTATAGTGACAGCTCATTTGATTTGCTCATGTCACCCATATAACGTAGGTACTGTTATTATTCAGTCTCCAAGGGAGGAAACAGAGGTACTGAAAGATTTAACATGCACGGGTCTCAGTGGTGGTGGACCTGAGGTTTGAACATAGCCTGTCAACTTCCAGCGCCTGTGCTCTTGACACACTCTACAGCAGGTATTTCTCAAACCTCTTGAGACTATTACCTGAAGTTAAATTTCTAGTGATGAGTGTGGCTACACGTAAGAAGTTACAAGTGTGCATTTGACATCCTTCATGAGTGAGGAGTTCTAGGAATATATAAAACAACATGAAGCTGGTGATGCTTACAATAATTGGGAGTTTGTGGAATTAGCATATTTCAAAAATACATAGAAAACTGCCATTGTTTTTGAGGTGATTCTCTGTGCAGCTTGGAGCTTGAACTTGAGGGCGTGATCTGCACAGCCTCCTTCCAAGCTGACTTTTAAGAAGTAGCTCTTGAGATAGGATTGTCATGCTGTAAAATTTACCCACCTTACATGTACAGTTCAGTGAATTTTAGTCTATTTACCAGCATGTACAGGCATCCTTTAGAATCTCCTTATCACCCTGAAAAGAATCTTCCGGCCCATTTTAGAGTCATTCCACATTATCACCTTAGCTACCAAGGTGATTTCAAATTCTTTTTTTGTGGTACTGGGCTTGAACTCAGGGTCTGCACCTTGAGCCACTCCACCAGCCCTTTTTTGTGATGGGTTTTTCGCCATAGGGTCTCATCAACTATTTTCACAGGCTGATTTTGAACTGTAGTTCTCCTGTTATCTGCCTCCTGAGTAGCTAGGATTACAGGCATGAGCCACTGGTGCCTGGGCTTGAATTCTTTTTCTTAAAGTGCCTCAGCATTAAGACCTAACTGTTGCTGATTACTTCTTTTGGTTTCTTCATAACTAAGAAACTGAGGACTGACTTTCTAATTAGGAGGTGAGCCAACGTAGGCTGTCATTCCACAGTCACCTTACTCAGCATGAATTACTGTGTTGAAATGACCCTGATAAAAAGTGAAATAAAAATGTCTCAAGTAATTCAAACCAGTGGCTCTACAAAAGCAGTAAAAATGTGTGTGTGGTGACTGTAATTGAGAGGGCTTGTTCTGTGTTGTGTTGCTAGACAGTGAAACCACAGTAGGTATAGTTGGAGTCTGTATATATTTATTAGAGAAAAATCAATGTGGTTGTTAAATGTTTTGTTAGTCCTTCGGAGAATTCACCAGCAAAGAAGAGTGCCATCTTACGAAGAAATTCCAAAATTATTTCACACTCATAGTAGAACATTTAACATTTATTTTGGTCTCTGCACACTATTTCTTATTTTTGGAAAAATGGTGTGTAGCTTGACTTGATGTAACTGACGCTTCTTTTGCACCAGATTGTGTTGTAGTGATACCCTTTACTATCGTGTGAAGTTTATTTTAATCGTTTTGCTCTAACAGTGTTCAGAACAACACAGCAAGCAAGAATAAGATTGTTTTAAATTCAGCATGTACATTTTTACAATCTCTTGTATTTACCTTTAGGTAAAGGATATTCTCTCTAAAGTCCAGAAAAACCATGTGGGAAAACCACTGCTGAAAGTTGATTTAAATCCAGAACAGGCGGTAATCTTCCTTTCTTACTAGTTTTATATAATTAAATTAGTGCATGTGACTGTTTCGTCTATTTTTTGTTACTATAACAAAATATCTGAGGCAGGCTAACTTTATAAAGAAAATTATTTAGCTCACAGGTTTTGCTTTCATTGTCCTATTTTCATTATGTATATGAAGCCCATGATCCTATTGCTTCATCTTCATCTCTTCCACTGCCCGCTTCCCACAGGTACCCCCCACCCCACACACAGTCTTTCACTATTAATTCCCAAGTCCATGTTCATTGGGTTTCTCAGTGTATCCCAGCTGTGACTATGCTTTGCTTTGGTTGGTTCAGTCCCCTCTGTCACTCTCCCTTACCCGCCACCCCTCGGCCTCAAGTAGAGGACATAACAGATGTGAAGTATTTCAGTGTTGTTGACTCTCGATCATTCTCTTTTGCTTTCCCTCCTCCCCTGAGTTCCATAGCGTAGTTCCACTGTTGCCTACATTTCCTACCCATAGGTATGTGTATGGTCATGTTTTTGTGTATATAGTTATCTTTTGGATGTGTTTTATGCATATGAGAAAAAACATGTGACCTTTGTTTTTCAAACTTAGCTAACTTAACATGTTGTCCATCCATTTTCCTTCAAACCATGTAGTTTCATTCTTTCTTATGAAAGGTGAATAAAACTCCATTATGTATCTATATCATTCATATATATGTATATATCACAGTTTCTTAATGCATTCATCAGTTGTAGGGTATCTTGAGTTGTTTCCATAGTTTGGCTGTTGTGAATAATGTTGCAATAAACATTGGTGTGCAAGTGTCTATTGTATCCTGACTTGCGTTCTTTGGGTATATGTGCAGATCATATGGTAGCTCTATTTTTAGTTTTTTAAGGGATCTCCATACTTCTTTCCATAATGGTTATACTAATTTACACCATATCAACACTGTATAAGGGTTCCTGTTTCGCCACATCCTTGCCAGCATTTGTCCTTGAAGATAGGCTTTCTCAGATGAAACCTTAGCGTAGTTTTGATTGCATTCTTTAATGGCCAGGGAAGTTGAACACATATTCATGTGTTTATTGGCCATTTGTACCTCTTCCTTTGAGAATTCCCTATTTAATTCATGTGCCCATTTCGTCATTAGGTTGTTGATTCTTTGGGGGCTGTAGCTCACAGATTTGGGGACTGAAGTCTACACAGCTTGGTGCTGGCTCTTGCAGGGGCCATCCTCTGGGTTGTATGACATCACGATGGTAGCAGTGACTGAATGTGTGGAAAGAAGTTATCCCATTACCAAACAGGAAGCCAGCGAGAGTGAGAGAGTGAGAGAGAGAGAGAGAAAGGCTGGGGTCCACCTGTGTCACTCCCCGCCTCCTGCCTCCCCATTCAAGAGCATACCTCCAGTTGACCTGAAGACTTCTTGCTAGGCTGAATTTCTTATAGGACCCCCCACACCACCTCTTAAAGTTACTATCACCTCCCAATTCCTGCCAGCCTACAGGCTGAGCCTCCAGCCCAGGAAACCTTGAGGACACAAATACCAACCACACCACTGCAATGGCTTAATTTGGTAAATGCACACCTGGACCTTGCACTGTGTGCCACATATATTGTTTTAGAGAATTGGAGCGGATGTTCTAGAATAATATATTCTAGCATTTCTTCAGTCAAATTGTTAAGTAAAAAATTGCTCAGGAATACTTACTTGTAGTGCCCATTATGCTGGCAGAGTTGTGATTTGGAAGGGACAGTGTCTTCAAACCCAACCAGGTGAGAAAGTACTGGTATTTTCTTCGTCAGTTGGTCCAGACTACTTAGCAAGTAGATGTTTTATGTAAGTGAGTGTGTTTGATTGAAGATGAGATAAAGTTGTTTAGTGTCTTCTGAGTATCATACATGTTCTTTCAAGTACTCTTGTTTAAATAATTTGTCTTGTCTCATGGCACCAGAAAATGGTTGCTGTGTATATCTTTTGCCTGAATGAAAGTCCTTACTATAATATTCAAATTTCATTTCTGTGCAGAATGAAAAAAACCTAATGTTTATGGTTTTTTGTTCCCAAATTCTTTAGGAAAAACTGGAAAGAATTAACCACACCCTTTCCTGTGAATATGAGTGCCGCCGGCGCATGTTAGTGAAGCGATTAGACGTGACTGTGCAGTCCTTTGGTTGGTCAGACAGGGCAAAGGTAAGCATCTTCCCGCTTGTGTCCTGTAGGTGGACCTGCCCTGCTGCAGTGTAACCAGGTGCCCTGCTGCAGTGTAACCAGGCCATATTTGCATTGATCACTAATAGGAAATCCCAGAGTGGTGTAAAAATTCCTGTTTGCACGTCATTTAATTTCTTCCCAAGCTCTGTCTGCCACTTAGGCTATGTGCCCCCGCCTTTTTTTTTTTTTTTTAATTTATTTTTGAGAGAGAGTCTCACTAAATTTTTTTTTTTTTTGATTTGGCAGCACAAGGGTTTGAACCTTGAACCCAGGGCCTCACACTTGCTAGGCAGGCGCTCTCCCACTTGAGCCACTCCTCCAGCCCCCCAAGATACTTAACTTAATCACATATGCATTACAAGATGACATTCATAGTTCTTGGGATTAGGATGTAGATGTCTTTGGGAGGCCATTCTACCTACTTGTGTGTCATCTTCCTTTTAATTGAGCTTTGTTTTTTCCTGCATTGCATTTCTGCAATAAGATGATAGGCTTTTTGGTTCTTCATAAGAATATGTAAAAATGAAGACTTCCTATGAAGTTTCCATTTTCTGAAGATTTCCATCCCAGATGCTTGTGCTATTTATAGGCTGTCCTTGGCTCTGCCTGAGTTTTTTGGATCCATTTGCCCTGACTCTGCAGTGGCAAATCCATGAGTGACTTCCTGATAAAGCAGGCTCTAAATCACTCTTAGGTACTTAGTTTCTGGATTAGCTTTGCATTTACTTTTTTTTATCCTCCCCAAACCATTGCAGTCTAAATCTGTGAGATAACTTGGGCTTTGGCAGTGACAGTCCAGGTCCATCTGGAAACTTGACCTCGAATTCACATTGTTCTCCTGTGATGCGCTGATATTTTTTAAAGTCCTGGACACATTCTAGGTATTTTGTGAGTACAGATAGGCACTTTGTGCTAAGTCTCTTTATGAGTTGTTGCTTGTTGTCAACACTCCTTTCCTGTCTGTTGCACTATTTTTCACTCCACCTTACGTGACCGGCAGATCTGGACGCGCTTCCTCTTTTCTGTCTCTTGTGCACTCTCTCTGGTTGTTTTCTTTCTGAAGATAAATTATTATTGCTCCTTAATACTTTCTGTTCATTTTTTCCCCTAATCTTTGTCATGTAGGTAAAAACAGATAACATAGCAAGAATTTACCAGCCTAAGCGCTATGCTCTGTCACCCAAGACAACAGTCACATTGGCGCACCTGCTTGCCGCTCGTGAAGATCTGTCCAAGATCATTAGGACAAGCAGTGGCACCAGCCGGGAGAAGACGGCGTGCGCCATTAATAAGGTTGGAGGAGAATGAATTAGTTTTCTCACTTGGTGTTTTTACAGATGTTAGTCCATTTTACTTACATGTCCTGGTGAGCGCCTAGAAAAGAGAGTAGGGAGGGCTGCTTAGTCCATCTAGGCTTAATTATTGTGTGTGCATATGTGTATGCATGTTGAGCTTCTGTATCCAGACATTAAATCAAAGTTTTATCTGAATTAGAGAAGTTAAGAATTATTTTTATTGGTAGTTTTAGCAAGAATTATTTTTTTCCCATTATGTAGTTATTTTGGGGTCAGTAGGAATCTGAAGGAATTGTTGCTGGCAGTAACGTTGACTTTCTATCTTTGGTGGGAGGCAAGAAGATTGCATGCTTGACTGATGCCCGTGTGGTACCATCCCAGCTCTAACATACCTTGGGGGAATCTCTGGACGGTCACCCAATCTCTCTGGCCTCACTTTTCCTGCTTCACAGTTAGATCCGCTCCTCTGGCAGTGGTTTGAACTAAGCATTCTTCACTGTGCAGTGGAAGTAACAATAATAGACAGATTTAAGGTACTTCTGTTAGCCAAGGAGCATGCTCCTCCATTTAGCTTCAGCCTCCTTAGCAGTCTGAATCACAAAAGAGCGAAAAGCCAGAAGTAAGGGCTGCAAGTAAATTAAAATACCATTCTCACTCAGTCCTGTTCACCCCCAGCCCCTGGTTGTTCTGATGTCAGTTTGCTGATTATTGCTGAGTTAGGCCATCAGTGTTTCCTCTGTGCTTCCATTTTCCATCAGCCCTCTCTGTCTTCTCAAAGTGTTTTCTTTAAATTTATTATTTAATATTTTGCATTGGCTTATAATCTAAATTTAGTCTTGCTAGATCAAGAGTTGTGCCTCTGTGGGTGATATTATCTCTCTCTGTGAGTTTATACTTTATAGTCTGACTGTTTGAGGGTAATCATTGTGTTAGTTCTTAGAACAGCATCTCCGTATGCCACCAACATATCAAATCTGGTGGAAACATGAGAATAATAACGTAAGACAGGCAGTGGTTGACGCCCTCCATATCAAGCAGCTCCTTTCTATGAAGGCTGGGGACGCAAACTGAGCTCTTCTCTACCTTATCCTCACAGTGCTAAGAAGCATGGTTAAGGGAAGCATGCCAGCTTCTTACTTGTCTTACACAGGTTGAGTATCCCTTATCTGAAATGTCTGGGACTAACCAGAAGTATTTCAGATTATGGATGTTTTTTGAAATTAGGAGTATTTGCATATAGGTAATGAAATATCTTGGGGGTGGGACCCATGATTAAACACAGAATTTATTTTATGTACACCTTATTATATATATACCCTGAAGGTAATTTTATACCAGATTTTTAGTGTCGCTGTGCGTTGTGAACCAGCACATGAGCTCAGGTGTGGAATTTTTCAATTGTGATGTCATGTTGGTGCTTAAGATGTTTTGGACTTTGGAGCATTTCACATATTGGATTGTAGCATTAGGGATGTTGAACCTGTAATACTGTAGTAGCTGTTGTCATTGAAAATAGCTGGACTGAAGTTTCTCAAAAGAAAGGAATTGTTCAATAGAACCCTCATGTCTCTTTGCAGTGATGCTTGGGATTACAGTTGTTGTATTCATCTCTGACTCCATGGTTAAATTTTGACTGCTAACCTGTATTTTGTTCAGGGTTGAAACACATAAATGACCTCATCGGTGATAGAAGGTGTACAGACTCTTACCTCATTGGTATTCCTGTGGATGTGTTTTGTATTTGTTAGTTTTCACATGTTATCATACATACTTCATACTTTGTTGAAATAAAATGTGACTAGGAATATTGGGTAATCCATTGCCAAACCAATGGCAATGGAAAGTCCAGAGTTATTTTTGTATAAATGGACGTAGCTCATATAGTTTGTGTGTATTGAAAAGGTTTTGCCAAAAAACTTTGCTTAGTGTAATGTATACTACATTTGTCCTAGAATTTGCTAAGCACATTTAAATAATAGAAAATTAACAAGCCTTTAAGTTTCAGAAATATTCCACCAGATTGTTTAAAAATATACCATACCCTGAGGAATTTGTTATATGTCACACTTATATTTTTAATATTAATTCTTAACAAATGTTAAATATTTGACTTCTCTTTGTTTGCTAGAAATGACATGTTTAATATCATTTGAAACCTTTATGTAAGTTTAAACTTTTAAAATGTTAAAAACTGAAAGAAAATGTTTCTTCACACAGGTGCTGATGGGAAGAGTGCCTGACAGGGGAGGACGGCCAAATGAAATTGAACCACCACCCCCGGAAATGCCCCCTTGGCAAAAGAGACAAGAAGGCGGCGGAAGGGGTGGTTGGGGGAGTGGTGGAGGTGGTGGAAGAGGAGGTGGTGGGGGTGGACGAGGTGGCTGGGGAGGTGGAGGTGGAGGTGGCTGGGGAGGGGGAGGGGGAGGAGGATGGGGAGGTGGTGGTGGGGGAGGTGGGGGTAGAGGAGGTTTCCAAGGCAGGGGAGACTATGGTGGGAGGGGTGATTATGGTGGGAGAGGGGGCTATGGGGGAAGAGGGGGCTATGGTGGGAGAGGCTATGGAGATCCATATGGAGGAGGGGGTGGAGGTGGGTACAGAAGATACTAAGAAGTGCAAAAAGTAGGCCGCAGTGCTTCTCGCTAGTGCACTAGGCAGTGTTCTAGTAACATGCCTGATGTCACCTGGAAGTGAGCATGTTAGACCCCCTGATGGCCCCTCTTGGATCTGCTTAATATGTGAGACCATGATTCTAAACTAACCTATCAGTTGAGCTCTTTAAGGATGGCTTTTCCATGTTCTGTGTACTTTTGAGCATGTTGTCTTTTTAAAAAACAAAAAAACCAAAAAAATATTTTTTAAAATGTAAATATTTATTACCATCAAACTTGGAAAATGAAAGTATTTTATTGTCATGATTAAATTTTGACTGTTAACCTGTATTTTGTTCAGGGTTGAAACACATAAATGATCCCACCTGTGATAGAAGGAATACAGACTCTTGCCTCTTTGGTATTCCTGTGGATGTGTTTTATATTTGTTAATTCTGTTGTACAAAACAGGGAAAAAGGCTGATAGTTGTGTTCAGTAGGTAGCTGTCATGATTTTTTTTTTTTTTTAAATAAGATGAGACTCCTCTGGTCAGCTATCTTTTAAAGTATCATTAATTGAAACCCAGGTTGTCTTTTTGCTCTGCTTACTTATTTTTCAATTGGACTTGACACCTGTGTGATTTTGTTTGACTGAAAAGTTAAACATAGTTTTGGAGTTTAAGTTAAAAATTGAGGTCAGAATTACTTTAAAGGAACCAGAGGTACATACCAATTTTACCTCTGGTGTGAAAATATTCCTGTAAACGCTTCTCTTCTTCACCTGTGCCTTCCCTTCAGATGTGCATATACTACCAGGCAGGTGGAGTTTTAGCTTGCAGCATGGAGGCTGCAGTCTCCAGCCCGCTAGATAGGGTAGGGCTGGTAATTTGTTCACAGCACCGAGCAAGGGAATGGCTGTATATAACTTGATGATTGGAGCAGTCAAAGACTTGGGGGTCAGGAGTTGTGAGTCCAAATTATGGCAAGGGTTGAAATAACCTTAGCTCAGAAGGATTGATTTGTCTTCGGTTGTCAAATGAAGAATGAGACACTTGCCCCCTGCTTAGGTTATTTCACAAAGACCTAAGTGTGAATGGAACTTGTTGAAAATTTATAACAGGTCTGTTGTGAGTGGTGTAAGGGGTGAGTGGTATTTTTCTGTTAGCGCAGAGACTTAGAGAAAAAGGACCCAGGCGCACGATGTTAGGAATCCACTGTAAAGTGTGTTGCAGTGGGTTCCCGGCCAGCACCTGTGCATGGCAGCTTTGCCATCGACCAGTGCAACAGAAAGACAGTTACCAGTGACGAATGGTACTTGATGCTTGGCAGGTGTCTTGTTTGGTTTTCGTTTTATTTAAACTCTGTGGTGAAATCTAAAATAATGCTGAAACCTTAAAGTAAATATTGTGTGTGCTCTAGGCATGGCCTTGTATTTTTCAAGCCGACCCTTAGAGTGTCTTCAGGATAGAAAAACAACATTTTTGGCTATTTATAAACTTAGACTTTTTGTGTGTTTGTTTAATGACGACTTAATTTTATTTGTAGCAATTGAAGAAAAAGGTTTTTACAAAAACTATGAATTCTGAAAATTAAAAATATCTAAGTAGAAAACCCCTTGAGTAAATATCTGAGACGACATTAACAATGCCCATTTGAAACCTGCATTTCTTTTTGTAAGCACTAGTTGTTGACAAGAGATTTAAAACAACTTTTAACTTTTTTTTTCCCTTTGGGACAGTCACTGTGTAGCCCAGGCTGGCCTCAGACACACCATTCTCCTGCCTTAGCCTCCTGAGTGCTGGGATTATAGGTATGCTGCACCTTTACTTTTTTTATTTTGGTGGGATTGGGGTTTGAATTCAGGGCTTTGCATTTTCAAAGTAGGCACTCTACTGCTTGAGCTATAGCTCCAGTCCATTTTGCTATGGAGATGAGGGGGTGGTCTTATGAACCAGGATCCTCCTGATCTCCACCTCCCAAGTAGCTAGGATTACAGGCATGAGCCACAAGGGTCCAGTGTGGCCTATATACTTTTAACTTCAACACTAAAGATTTATGGTAAATATTGCAGAAGCATTAGTTTATCAGTTTCCCCAAGAGTTTTATTCCTTGTAGGAGTACTATTTGGGCTACCTACTGCAGTCACTGTCAATCTCAGCTAAGTCAAGCACTTCTGGAATCGTGGCAGAGCTGGAAGCACTGATGTATTTACACGTTCCTGTGACCCTCATTGAAGAAAGAAAAGGCCTAGTCATCCAACCCTAACATCTTATTCTTTCCTCTCACGTGGCATTTTTATGATAATCTTTGATCAGTAGACATTTGTTTGCAGAACAGTTTGCTGAGCAACATCAGGTAACGGTAAGGTGGTTTAGGGCCTTCATGTGAAAGGCCAGAACGAGGAGACGTTTATAGCTTGAGGGCAGCATAAGTGTGGAATATGATGCGTGTCATCTTAGTGCTTCCTAAAGCCTAACACTGTTTGATACTTCCTCTTCATTCTTTTGCCTGGTTCTCAATTTCCTTGTTTTTCTATTCTCACATTTTTTCTTCCCTTCTCCCTGTCTTTGTCCAGCTGTGGCAGCTAGTAGCTCCTATAGAGTGGCCTCACGAGGAATTCTGAGTTAAAGTAGTCATGACTTTTCTTTTGAGCTGGTAAAGAGCACTTGTCCTATCCATACATAATCACCATACAGTCACCCACAACCATCATCAGAAGGGAAATGGGGGTTTTCTTTGAATCTGTTTGCAGTGTTCTTGCCTCATTAAAGAGAAAAAACAAATTTTAAACCGAAAATGTTTTTACTTGCCTGGATTTGTGACTAAAAAAAAAGTACGATAATCTGAAAACAATTTATGGCCAGAAGATGGGCTGAGCATTGGGGCTGTATGTCCATGGAAAGGACCAGGGAGGACACTGGGTGAGGTGAGGAGACAGTTTTTAACCTTTCCTTTGGGTCTTGTTGTCTATATGACTTCATTCTTTTGTATGAAATATTATGACTTGCCAAAATGATAGAGGCTCCCCTGCCCTAATGTACCAGAATGCATTCCACAGTAGAATTTGAGTGGTAGGACAACCTTCCCCACCCCCTATTGGTCAGGTTAACAAAACAATTGGCTGGGTTAAGGGAAAATCATGACAGTCTCTAAATCACTTTAAATAATCATGACCATGAATGAACTGCTGAGTGGTCTGCACACAAGATTGAGCCACTACTATTTTTATCTTTCTTTGCTTAGATGGAACTGTGGAATTAAAGTTGAAAGCCACAGAGGAATGACAACCTCAAGTTTGTTTTTTAAGGAAGGGGGTATTTGAAACAGGGTCTCACTCTGTAGCCCAGGCTGGTCTTGAACTCATGATCCTACTGTTTCTGCCTCCTGAGTGCTGGGATTACAGGAGTACACCATCATGCCTGGTTTGTCTTCAGTGTTAAATATGTATAGACTCAGTATTTGGGGATCACTCTTAACGTTGCTATGAATAAGATGGGAAAAGATTGGGTATTTCTGTACTGTTACTTCTTCATGCTAAAAAAAGGAAGTAGAAAAAACGTAAACTGAGTAATAGTAGGTTTGCTTTTCCTTCCAGCGAAACGCAGTTTGTTTAGTAGAATAGGGGAATGGAATCAATGTGGATTATGGTGAAACATTCAGGTGAAGGTGAAGACACACAAGACATTTCTGTGGTAGGGATCCTAATGTTTTTATCATATAAATATTACACAAACTTACATATCAAAAAGACTTTACAATCTGTACATTTGGGTTTTTTCTTGCAGTTTATATTATACGTATTTAGACAGAAATTCACAAATTGTCAGTAAAAAGGAGTCAGTTAACAAAAATGAGAAGTGACACTGCTTCTAGTACAATAAGATCTGTCCTTACTTTGAGTCAATGTAAAGTTTGCATCCTAGGCTTGATAATCCAGAAACTTGTCTGTGATTGTGTATGTAGATTTCTTTAGCCCCTGGAGCTCAACGTGAATAATACCAGTATTTCTTTGGTCCATGCTGGATGGTAAAACCTCTGATGAAACTTCTGCCTGTCATTTCAGGAATGAACTTGGCAGTGCCTGGCATCATCTAGCAGAGATAATTTGAGGGGACTATGACCTTTTGAATTCCTTTATGCTGTAGATTTTTTGCATAAAAACTAACTTGGGGTCCTCATTTTGAAAAGTAAGAAGAATAAAAAAATTTGTGTGTTCCATGACCTTAAAAACATTAAGCTGTATTCTCTTTTGGGTCTATGTCAGAGGAAAATAATAGTGAAGAATACAGATTTTAAACTTTCTCTTAACTTATTTGTTCCATGGAAAGCAAATAGAGAGTGCTACTGAGTGTGTGTACTTGGTGTACACAGACTAAAGCAGCCGTGCTTTGTGCATACAGATTTAGGAAGAGTGTGTGACTCTTCAGAATTTAAGGAATCATTAACTACAAGCTAGTTGTGTGTCACTAAAACTCAACACAAAGGTATGCAAATGGAAGGTGGTCTCTCCTCCAAGGAGGCAACACTTGTGTCTAGTTTGCAATCTTACGAAGAAGTGCTGTTGGCAGTAGGTGAGGAACATCCTTTATTAAGATTATATCCTTGGCAGTCAGTCAACTTGTATATGAATTGTAAGTCAGCATGGTGCCAGACTTTTCAAGCATGGAAGCTAAGTCTTCCCCCAATTAAATGATCATACTTTTTTTTAAGAGAACTAAAAAGAGACTAACAATGGAGTCTCAGTGGTTGCCCAGGCAACCAAATCAACCCTTCTACCATTAACCTTCATAATAGAATATTCACAGGACTTTTACTTGTGATTTGCAAAACAATACAGTTTACTTCATAAGCAATTTCTCCAAACAACTATAGACTTATGAATTTGTGTAAATGGCTAAAGTTGTTCAGTTCACGCCATTTTATAAGGGGAAATTCCAAGTCATTTGCATGCCTGATATTGTATATGCATATTATATACATATGAACATGCTGTCAGCTACTGAAGATATTGATCCCCTTAGCTTATTTCTAAATAGTATCAATAGTAAAGAGTTTAAGCACAGATCTGTTCAGAAATAATTTACTTCAAAAAAAAAAATAAAGATGGAACATGAAGAGTTAAACATTCTTCACAGACTGTTTAATAAAGCCATGAATTCCTAATTCTTTCTACTGTAGAACAGATGAGGACAAACATGTTTGTGTTACGTTTATTTTAGCTAATTAGCCAGTCATGTGTGAGACAGTAATTGCTGTGTTTCTGGGTATTAAATCTGATTACTTATTTTATGACGACTTTAAGACTGAACCGTGAGTTGACCTGCAATGGGATAATGGCATTCAATAGGCCCTACAAAGCCACAGCTGTGTCTCTAGAAGTTCACTTCTAGGTCAATGTGCTCTTGTAAGAGTGTAGTGAGGAAGAAGGGGGAGAGGTGAATTGACTAGCTCTGAGGTAGTGAAGAAGGAACCAGATTCACAAAGAATGCTGGCCTGTACAAGTCACTCTTTTTTTTGGAATATGGATTTTTTTTTCTATTATAAATAAGCCTTTGGGTGGAACAAAGGAAAACCTGAAGGAAGCAAATTCATTTTCCAGGAATTTTAGTTCAAAGGAAGAATCAGGCAGGCCGCCTGAGATGCTACCTGTGAGGAAACTACAGCCATGCTTTAGCACACTGTTGGCATTAGTGCCAGAAAAATAAGCTCTAGTATGAATGCATCCTTCAGCTTTCCTCCCCTTTGAGTCAGCTGATTGAAAGTAATCAGCAGTTCCATTCCATAGACTCCTGGGTGTCTGTTTGTGGGCATGGAAAAGGTGTCCAGGGTGCTCGTCCACGTGGTGCCTGGAGCCTCGGGGCTAAGATCAGTCCCCCTGCTCCATTTGTGCTAAGACATGGTTGCTTTTCTCAAGCCGGAGGGATTCTATTTTCTTCTGTGCATACTTCAGTTGCATCTTTAGGGCATCATTATCTGCTTTCAGGGTATTTATTTCCTACGGGAAAGGAGAATACGGGACGTAAACAAGCAGTAGTGGACAGCAAATCAGTTACAGCATCGCAAGTACTTGATTGGCATCTCCTGTTTGCTGTGGTTGGGAATTAAAGACTGTTTCCAAAATACTTATTTTGCCCTGATAGGAAATCACATGTTAAATATCAAACGAGCATGTGCAAGCAGCCGTTAGTCTTTGCTATCACGACATAGGTGTGAGTTGCTAGCAGGCATAAAAAGCCATTTCTAGGTACTGGGTGGAGGAGGACAGAACAGATGTGTCAGGAGATCCTAAGGAGGCAGAAACAGAGTCTGGTCTGGTCACAGCCACAGAAGCAGTGCTTGAAAATTCTGCAAAGGTAACCTTTTGAAATTTTTCCCCACCCCCTGAACTGGGATTTAGTTACCTAATTTGTAGTGATTTAATTATAGAGCCATCAGATGATTTCTGGGCTTCTGACTGTGTGGCCAGTGTTCTTACAGTATACCAGACTGATGACCCCAATTTTTGGGTAATTGGGAGTGCACTGGTTGTTTATCAGATTGAATTATCACATTGCTCTGTTAGCTACTATACAATGTTGAGTGCTTCCTGGTGCCTGGAACTGTGGTGCATATAGAATATCTTAACCTTCACACACACCCTGAAAATAGGTGGTAGATCTGAATGTTACAGAAGCAGAAAATGCTGCCATACAGTTTCAGGCTGGGATTTGAACCCAGGTATATCTGACCCAATAGCCTTTATTTGCTTTTCTTTTGTCCCATGATGAGGCAGAGGTATATGTAAAGTAAAACAGTAATACTTGATATATTATATATGACATGCTGTGTGGAACATTGGTTTAATTTGACTCGTTCATCATGGATAGCACTGTTGAATGATGGGCCGGTCATCGTAAGGAATGGGACACATGGTTCCTGTAGAACATACATGGTGAATTCTGGTCTTCAGATATGTTTGACATGGACTCAAGTAAAGAGGCAGTGGGGGAGATGCTGAGAGTTAACTGGCTCTGTATTGCTGAGTAGGAATTATTCTGGACCTGCTGTGAAACCTTCCTGTCACCTACTTCTCACAGCATTGTTGCTAACTACGTCATTGCTTTTCATAGGAATGTAAAATGTCAGGATTTGAAACTTTAGCATGGAATCCCAGCCATACATTTTACAGAAATTTTATTTATAGTTGTATATAATTAGGTAGATAGGCTTAAAATCAGTAACATTGTTCCACCCTCCCTCTTTCCTTTTTTTTGGTTTGTGTGTTGTTTTTCTTTAGCCTGCTAGTAATCAACCTGATCTGAATCTTCAGTTCACATGCTCTTCCCTGTTTTACTTCTATAGGAGAGTCTGGGGAAAAAGGGAAGTGAAAAGGTAGGTACCTGTTCCAATTCTTGGTAGGTTGGGAGTCTGAGGTGACGGAGCTCCTCTTTTGATTTTATTAGGGATTCTTTATTCTCCCACTTGACAAAAGCCCGCTTTCTGACCAACACTGGGCTGGGGCATGGCGACGTGGGACTGGGAAGCACATAAAGGGTGTCCTGGGCTGTCTTCTTTGGGGAAGAGAGCACAAAGTGCCCAGGAGAGCTGTCACTGCCAATCCAAGGCAGCGTTTCAGTCTGGGTGGTCTTGTGGGCGACAGTCCTCTTGAGCCGAACAGAAATCTTCTGTGAGGACACTCCCATCAGCATGATGGTCCGGTCCTTACTGTCCTCACTGTGTCCCCCGGCCTCCCCATTGTGGAATGGAACAGATCCTTCTTCGGGTGCTGTGGGAGATACACAGTGAGTTAGTGCTCAAAGAAAGAGACTCAAGACTCAACAGTAGTTTCAAACGAGGACCTCATTGTAAGAGGAATTCCTGCTTCCACTACCATCACTTTCAGGTACTCAAGGTAGAGGGTGAGTAGAAGCTGAGATCCAGGATTCAACATGCCAAACCACAGCCACGGTGTCAGGGTGTGTCCACCCTGGGGAAAAGACATCCCCTGTTTGCACAGAGGTTGCCTGCATAGTTACTGTTTCTGTGGTAAGTTGGAATCCTGCCTCATGCTGCAGATCCCGTCAGCTAAAAGAGCAGGATCCGTATATGGACAGAAATGCTCCAAGTACTTTCTGTGGACTGTCACTCAAGTCTCAGTCCTGATACAGGTGTCCTCTCTGTAGGAACACATGGTAGGAACTCTCTTGAGGGATCCTCTGTGTAATGGGTACAGATTAACTGAGGGGAAAGTTTTAGCTTTCTGGAAGTGTGACCCAAAACGTATTCCCCTTGTTTGATATTGATGGCAAGAGGACAGACCAGTCTTCTGGTTTTCATCCTGGAACAAATACCCCTCCCAGAACCTAGTTTGGAAATGTTACTCATAGGAGTAATTTCCTGGACAAGTAGAGTAAGAGTGGATATATTTGGGATAAACTGACCATCAGCTAGGTTTACTGTTTGCAGAAATTCTGAGTGCTCTGCAAAGTCCTTAGGTCCTACACAACATTTACAGTAAGTAGGGGTGATAAGATACTGCCTTCTAGAGCTTGGGGAATGAAGTGATTAGGTAAAAAGCACATATTTGCAGTAAAATGTTACATTCCTGTTACTAAATTTTCTAGCTAAGATGTTGGATTGATAGTTAAAATGACTTAGTAAAACAAAAAAGTTCTTCAACAATTATAACTCAAGTACATAATTCTCATACTAGAAACCCTATAAGGATCCTAGTTTTAATTTTTTCCAACAAAAACATAATTTAAACTCACTTAATACTGGCTTAAGTAAAGCTCAAAGTTGCAGCTACACCATTAAAGTACTTAAAATACTATATTGAAGTATATAAACTTACATTTACTCTAAAATAATGACATTGCTTTGTGGAGGAGTGTTGTGGGTGATGACTTTTTGTGTTTTTTACTAACGTGAATTTTACATACTAATGGATTTGTGCTTTCAGTGTGCACTGATCATGTCCAACCACACTTCTTCCCCCACCCCCAGGCACCAGTCCCAGTCCCTAGTAATCACTATTCTACTTATAGAACAACTTGTTTTAAGTTTCCACGTATGAGAAACAACCGTGTATGTACCTGTCTTTTCTGTGTCTTATTTCACTTAACGTGTTTTCTGGTTGCATCCATTTTGCTGCAAATGACAGGATTTCATTCTTCTTTTTGTCTAAATAATACTACGTTGTGTATTTTTTTGTCCATTCATCTGTTGGTGGGCACATAAGCTGACTGTGTACCTTAGCTATTGTGAATTGTGCCACCATAAGCATGGGCATGCAGGTGTCTCATTTGTTGACTTCATTTTCTTTGGCTATATACCCATGAGTGGGATAGCTGGATCATATGAGGTAGTTCTGATTTTAGTTTTTTTGGGAACCCTCCACACTACTTTCTAAAATCTCTGTACTAATTTACATCCCCACCAACAGAGTTCCTTTTTCTCCACATGCTCACCTGCATTTTTTTTTATAATTGCCATTCTAAGTATGGTGAAATGGTATGTCTTATTTTGATTTGCTTTTTTTTCTGATGGCTAATGATATTGAGCATATTTTTAAATGGTCATTTATAATCTTTTGAAACATGTCTACTCAGATCATTTGCCCATTTTTAATTGGTTTTTTGGTGCTACTGGAGTTTGAGCTGAGGACGTTGTGATTGCTAGGTAGGCACTCCATGTAATATGTCTTGAAATCAGGTATTGTGAAGCCTCTAGTTTTGTTTTTTGTACTCAGGATTGCTTTGACTATTGGGAAGGTCTTTTGTATTTCCATATGAGTTTTTGAATTGGTTTTTCTAGTTCTTTGAAGAATGTCATGGTATTTTTATAGGGATTACATTGAATCTGTAAATTGCTTAAGGGAGTATTGACATTTTAACATTAATTTTTCCAATCCATGAACATGAGAGGTCTTTTCATCTTTTAGTGTCTTCAATTTCTCTCATCAGTGTTTTGTAATTTTCATCGTGGAGGTCTTTCACTTGCTTAGTTAAGTTTATTCCTAGGCAGAGAGAGTCTCTCTCTGTCTCTCCTTCCTCTTGCCTAATTCCTCTGGCTAAAACTTACAGTACTATACTGAATAAAAGCAGTGAGAGTGGACACCTTTTTCTTGTTCCTGATCTTAGGGGAAATGTTTTCAGTTTTTCCTAATCAGTATGATGTTGGCTGTGGGATTGTCATACAGCCTTTATTATGTTGAGGTATGATCCTTTTATAGCTAATCCGTTCAGGGCTTTTATTATGGGGGGAAGCTGAATTCTATACAGTGCTTATTCTGTATCTATTGAGATGATGGGATGATTTTTTGTCCTTCATTCTGTTTATGAATGCACATCCTATGTGCTTATTGATTTGCATATTGATCATCCATGAGCCCCTGAAACTGCTTGATCATGGTGTATGATCTTTATGATGAGCAATTGAATTTGGTTTGCTAGTACATTTTTTTTGGCAGTAATGGGGTTTGATTTCAGGGCTCTGCACACACTCCCAGCCCGGTTTGCTGGTATTTTGTTGAGGATTTTTGCATCTGTGTTCATCAGCGGGATTAGTCTATCATTTGTGTGTGTATGTCCTTGCCAGGTTTTGGTAACAGGGTAATGCTGGCCTCACAGAACTGAGGTAGGAACTGGAAGAGTTCCTACCTTTTTAATTCTGTGGGATAGTTTGAGAATCAGTGGTGTTAATTCTTCTTTAAAAGTTCAGCAGTAAAACCAACTGGTTCTGAGGTTTTCTTTATTGGGAGGCTTTTTATTCGTGATTCAGTTTCATTGTTTCTGGTCTGTTTGGTTTTTTTTAATCCTCTTGGTTCAATTGTATCCAGAAATTTCATCCATTTCCTCAGGATTTTTCCAATTTGTTATATTATTTTCCAAAATTTCTACTGATCCTTTGTATTTTTCTGGTATCAGTTGTAGTGTCTCCTTTTTCATCACTAATTTTTATTTGGATTTTTTCTTTTTCTTGGTAGACTGTATAAGGTTTGTTAATTTTGTCTTTTCAAAGAACCAACATCTATATCATTGATGTTTTGTATTGTTCTTTTAAACTCCTTTAATTTCTGCTCTGATCTTCTTTCCTTCTACTCATTTGAGGTTTGGTTCTTGCTTTTCTGAGTCCTTGAAATGTGTCATTGGGTTACTTATTTGAAATTCTTCTTTTTTTTTTTTTTTTCATATAAGCATTCAGTGCTGTACACTTTCCTCCTAGTGCTACTTTTGCTGCCTCTCACAAGTTTGGGTATGTGGCATTTCATTTTCATTTATTTCAAGAAATTTTAAATTTCCCTTCTGATTTCCTCATAGACCCACGATTCAAAAATGTGTTGTTGAGTCTCATGTATTTGTATAATTTTTAAAGTTTCTCTTGTTATTGACTTCCAGTTTCACTCCATGTGATCAGACAAGATTCAGCAAAGTTTTGATTGAAAAGATTGAAAATTCTTTAAGACTTGCTTTGTGGCCTAATAGTTGGTCTATTCTTCTTTTTTTTTTAAATATAGGTATAGAAGAAGAAATTTATTATAGTAGTTGACTCAAATATGCCACCTAAAAGCTGGAGAGCCAAGGAAGCCAGCACTGTCATTCAGTCTACATCCACAGACTTACAACCCAGGGATACAGTGGCACACACTTAGTCCAAGGCTGAAAATCTGAGAAACTTGGCAGCCACTGGGAAAAGCCCCTGAGTCCAAAGGCCCAAGAACCTAGAGTTCTGGTGTCTGTAGGTAGGAGAAAATTGGAATGCCTCAGCTCTAGCAGGGAAGGTATGAATTTGCCCTTCCTTTGCATTTTGTTTTAATTTTCTTAATTATACTTTTGTTGTACTGGGGATACATTGTGATAGTTACAAATGCTTACAGTATATCTTAGTTATATATTTGGTCTATTCTAGAGAAAGTTCCATATGCTGATGTTGGATGGATATTCTGTAAAATGTTAAGTTCATTGCATCTGTGGTAAAATTTTAACTGTGATAATTTGTTGATTTTTTTGTGCAAATGTTCTATCCATTGGTGAGAGTAGGGTATTGAAATTGGAGCATGTCTCCCCTGGTAAGTCTTAAGAGTAATTATAAATTTGGATGCTCATCTTAGGTTCATATAGATTTGCAGTCATTGTGTCTTCTTGATAATTGATCACTTGGTCATTTTATTTTGTCTCATAGTTTTTGTCCTTAATGTCTGTTTAGGATTCCATCCGCTTGGGATATCGTTTTCCATCTTTTCAGTCTGTGTATCTATCTTTACTGGTGAAGTGAGTTTCTTGTACGTAGCATATTACTGGGCCTTTTTAAACCCAGTCTGTACCTTTTCATTGGAGAATTTAGTCCATTTATATTCAAGATTATTGTTAAAAGTTATGGGCTTGTGCCTATGATTTTGTTGGTTTTCTTGTAGTTTTTTTGAGTGGTCTTTTATTCCCCTCTCAGCTGTGTTTGTGGTTTGATGGTTTACTGTTTGATAATGTATAATTCTTGATTCTTTTCTGTTTCTTTTTTTGGGTATAAGTGGAGTGATACTTTCATTTGCTACCATGATGATAATTATCTTTCCTTAATTTCGGGATGTGAGACTCCCTGAAGTATCTTTTGTAAAGTTGATCTGCAGGTCCTGAATTCCCTCAGTTTTTGCTTCAGTATCTTAGAAGTTCTTTATTTCTCATTCATTTCTGGAGGATGGCCTTTTTGGGTATAGTAATGCTGGTTGTCAGTTACTTTTCAGGACTTGGAATACATCACTCTGTTCCATCCTACTCTGTGGGGTTTCTTCTGAGAAATCCCTTGTTAGTTTAACAGGGTTGTCCTTAAGTATGGTTTGGTGCTTTTCTCTTGTAGATTTTAAGCCTGTCTTTATCCTGTGTTTTTTACTGTATTGTGTTATGGAAAAGATCATTTCCAGTAATGTCTATTTAATGGTCTAGTTGAGGTTCTATAAGCCTCATAAATGGATGTCCATGTCTTTCCCAAAATGAAGGGAATATTTTTTTTTTTCATTCTAGATTTTCTGTGCCTGTAATCTTTATTTCCTTGCCTTGGGGTAGTCTCATGCTGATATCTGGTTGTTTAATTGCATTTCAAAGGTTTGGAATACTGTCATTTGAAAAGATCTGTCTTCAAGCTTCAGTATTCTTTCTTCTGCTTGATCTAGTCTGTTGTTAGGCTTTTTTATTTGTATTGTTGAACTCTTCATTTTCTAGAGTTTTGGGTTTTGTTTTTTTTTTTTTCCAAAATCTCTTTGCTGAATTCTCATCCATATCCTGTATTGTGTTCCTAATTTATTTTATTCTTGTGAGTCTCATTATCCTTTAAAAACCATTGTTTTGAATTCTTTATGTGTTTTATCAAGACAGGCTCTCTGTACAGTGTGAGACTGTCCACAGTTCGAGAGGCAAGTGATGAGAAACACACAGGTGTGGCAGCAGCGGCCATGGTATTCCTTTGTGCTGCTTCTATGGGCAAGCGTGGGGATGGGGGTGACAGCCAAGGCTTTTTCTCTCCTCTGACTCTTTCAGCTTTCATGCCCATCAGGGAGCAAGTGGGAATGGGTTGTGGCTGGAACTGGGCAAAATTCCTGTCGGGATCTCCCTTGGTTGTGTGTATCCAGGGAAAGATGGCACCATCCAGGGTTTTTTTTTTTTCCTCCCCAATTCCTTCAGCAGAAGTGCCTGTGGGAGGGAGGGAGGGAGTGCAGAATGCTTTGTGCCCGGCAGTTTCTGTCTAGACATCACTAGGTCTGGCAGCTGGGGTGCTGTGTTGCTCAGCACTGCCCAGCATGCAGTAGTGGAACTGTAGGAGCTCTTTTCTCAGCCTCATACTGGTATGAGCACACGTAGCTGGACATGTCTGTGGTCTTGGAGGGCAGGCTTCCTGATCTCCCTGTTCTTGAGGGTGGAGCCCTCCATTCCCTTCTGTGTAGCAACACCCATCTCCTACAGTGCAGGGCCCTCAGCAGGTCTAGGTCACTGAGCTGCTACCCACTAAGCCAGTACAGTGGAATGTCTGTGGGGTCCCAGAGATGGGAATATATTAGGATATCTGACACCCCCCAGAGAAGTCCAAATTCAGACAATAGGTTACTTCTCAAGATGGCTGCTGGTCATAGCACCCTGGTGGTTCTGGGAGATGATATGAATCCTTGCCCATCTAGTCAGAATATGAGCCTGTGAGGGTTGCGAGATCTCAATAGCTAGGCTTGCTGGCACCCCACTGATAGGAGTTTGCCAGGACTCTGTTTTGTACTTACCCTGCTTGGGGCAGAGGGGTGAGGATACGCTTGCCTCCGTTGACTCCACAGCCAGAGGACAGATATTTTGTTCTCTTACTATGCTGTTGTCCCAGCATAGTCAGTCTCTTCTGCCGATTTCCAGTGTTTGCCCATGATCACTCACCTCAAAATGCAGCTATACACCTTTCGCTTTTGTTGTCCTTTATAGAGGAGCAGGTGAGTGTTGGGTGCTTTTCAGTCAGTTTCCTACTTTTCTTTAACACAGTTATATGCTAAACCCCAAATTATGAATATAACTCCTTCTCTTGTTCTAGACATACAGAGATTTTGTGACAGAACCTTGGGCACTCTACCCTTTGAGGAGCAAGAGAAAGGTTAGTAAGGAAAAAGCAACAGAAAGGGACCCCTTGTAATTGCAGGGAGTGTTAGAACACTTAGTATTAAGGAAAACCGGGAGAGGTACAAGTTCAAGATAAATAGAGAGTTATGGTGAGATTAAGAAAGGTGATAAAGGACTGAAATCATTGGAAATTTTGATTTGATTAGCAGGTGCCACCCCAGAGAAGAGTTATTAATAGCGACGAAGTAGTTTGAATAGGTGATGATGATATCCAACAGTCAATTCTTCCATTACAAATAAACCTTAGGTTGTAGCAGTTTTATAGTAATTTTCATTTGTTGCCCATGATACGTATTGTTTGGTCTACTTCCTTGTAGTTCTAAGAAAGCCTCAGAAGTCTTCGCTTACCAATTTGGGACAGGGTTTGGTGAAGAATCCATTCAGGGAATCATTTTGAGGCTCCAGAGTCACACTGCTCTTTGTCATTTTTTCCTATGAAAACTTGCATTCTATCTGACAGAAATGAGAAACCCTAACGGATGTATAACTCTTAAAAACAGGGTGAGTAATATATGGGCATACAATACTTGTTAATTTCTGTTAAAAGTAGACTGTCAAAGTTCATTAGCATATTTTTCCCGGGGGGCGGGGGGTGTTTTCAAAGAACAAAACATCCCCAAAGTCTGATCTCGGCCTGTGTTTAGCTACATGGGATGGGAAAGTATTCAGAAGAGAGCAGAGTTTACCCTTGACTCATGTGATAAGGAGTGTTCATGGAGGTCTAATCTAATGATGGTTAAATGCAGAGGACACACCACAGGGACTTAGGCTGTCTCTAGGCATTTGTAACTGTGGTGACCTTACCATGTTAGGGAACCCATTTCAAAAGAGCAAAATAAACTCATCTTTTCTACACAAGGAAAACGTCATCAGAAAAGAACTTTTTTTTGGCTGTAGTTAGAGATCACTGTGTAAGCTGGCACTAACCTAATGAGCATTGCATTTTTGCCTGAACACCTGTGTGTTATGTGTTCTTCAGGAAGACGAGGTGATCAGTGTTTTGACATGGAGCTGGCCAGTTTGCCCAGAGAGCAGGGCCTAATCTAACAGTGTGAAGCCTTATCTGCCCACCAAGGTCCTCACTGCTATTGTTCATTACTAGCTCCTCATTTTATAGTATAAACAGTTCAGATGGTTCCAGATAGCATTTAAGACTCTAGAACTGTTTCCTACTCATGTTCTAGTTCATCTGTTACCTAACCTTCACTTCTACCACAATACTTGTTAACCATCTCAGCACCACTAAAGCCCTTTGGTCTGATCTTCTGCTTCTGAGTGCATCTTATCTGGAGTGCTCTTTGTCTTTTTCATGACGCTACATGAACATTCTCCAGGTCTTTCCCAGCAGCCTCTCCATTCGTCACCAGTGTCACTGAAGCCTAATTGGCAATACCCTCCTGCCTTGTTTTCTAACCTATCTCACATGGCCATGTTATCTTTTCCCCTAACTAGACGGGGCAGTGCTTTCAGCTTTTTTGCCCTTCAGATCTGGGAGGACTCCAACGTACTTCTTAGTATTATTTCCTCATTGTGCTAATGTTTGCATTTTGACATGAACAGATTTGCTAATTTATGTCTGGTATTGAAGTTTTTGCCTTAGTCGTATGTTTTAGATTTTAATTTGCAAGCTTATCTTGAGTTTTGCTTCCTTTTTGCTTTCTGCATTTACCCTTCTGTTTCTAGAATTTTGATGATTATCTCTACCTGACCTCTGAGGGTCCCAGTCTAGAACTTAGTCTTAGATTAATGGCTTGGAGGCTCCTCTCCTGGAAGAAGGGTGAGGATATCACAGTCACTTGGCCATTCAATTCCCTGTTTTCATGTAGAACTTTATCATCTTTGAATGCATCTTTACACAGTGGAGTTAGTTGTTGCTTTTGGACATTAGGTGAATGTTTATTTGTGCTTTAGTATCCACCTGTCTATGCGGGTGACCTTGCTTGTGGCTAAGTGTACTTCCTGATGTGATCCCTAAGTGACAGTCACAACTTTTTCAGTCTCCTTCCTCATCTTTAAACAGTAAGTCTGATTTTGGTCACTTTTCATGCATACACCGTCTCTGTTACTCTGTAGAAATCAAGTTCTCAGGTGCCTCCTTTTACATTCCTTGTGTATGATGAGTTATCGAGAAGTTAACCTTTGTTTCTGGTTTTTTTTTTTTTTGTTTTTTTTTTAATGACACTGGAGTTTGGCCTCATGCTTGCTAGGCAGGTGCTCTTACCACTTGAGCCACTCCACCAGCCCCTAATGTTTGTTTCTGAACGCAGCTATGCCTTTTAAATTAGTATGCTCTTTGTATCGCTGGATGTTGTATCTACATATACATATACATATGCATTTTCTCCCTATTGTTGTTTGGGTTTGCGGATGAAGGAGGATAATCGAGCGTTAACTTTATATTGGCCAAAAGTCAGTATTTGCACTGGTGTAGGTGCTCAGTCAATTACCTGTTGACTTTTATGGCAACTCCTAGGCCTGGAGCTGAAATTCAGCAGTGAGGGAGGGGTCTGAGGTCAAGGTCAACCAGAACTGAAGGAATAATGAGTTAATCTTCCCTGCTCTAAAACTGACCTTCTCTTGTTCCAAGAAAAAAATTCCCAGAGCCTGCTTACCATGGAGTAGGTCTTTGGTTCCCAGTGGGCAAAGGCTGGACATTGGTCCCACAGAGGTGCTGTTCTCTGGAGGAGCTGCTGGGTTCTTCGCTCGCTTCTTGCACTCAAATACCACCAAGTCTTTGCACTGTTTGTGGCAGTTCATCCCACAATCTGTGGACAAGATATCCTGGTCAGATCTTTGACTTTTCTCTCCATCTCACCAAATTCATGCAGTTGTCTCTTGCCAAACATGTCTGCCCTGTCTTCTGGAGCTAGGATACCTAACATCCCTAACAGACTTAACATTCTTCTTTCTTGTCAACGAGGCTTTGCACTCAGCCAAGAAACTGTGGGCTGAATAGACCTCTGCTATGGGTGGAAAATACTTTAAAGAGCCCCCCAAACCAGGGAAGATGAGAGTCCACAAAGCTGTCTTACCTTTGCATCGATATCCTTGTTTGATCACTCCCCAGAGCTGCAAGACAAACACAGAGTGTCATTCAGCTGTCTGGTGTTAGGCTACACATTGACATTCTTTTATTTTCCTTCTTTCTACTCCCTAGCTCAAGTGGGAAGGAAACCCTATCTATCTTTCATAGGTCCTTCTGACCTTAAATTGAAAACAGGAAATATTTGTGTTGACCAGGGTCAAATGTTCTCCAGAAGCTCACTGTAGTAGCTTTCTGACCCAGGATGAACCAGGACAAACAGGCTCCACCAGACTCCTAACTGACAAGTGTGCAGTCCCGGGTCAGGAGTCCGGGTGCAGAGAAGACCAGGGTGGGGCAGAGGAGGTGCAGCACTTAGGTAATTCTTGTGAAAGACGGAGGAAGGCATCATGTTTCTTTTTTGCTAACATTTAAAGCAGCATATTGCTATAATACTTAAAAGAAGTATATCCCAAATCCCACATTTCTGTACCATTTATCCTAGACCTTATGCATCAGGAAGGAAAAAAGGAAGAAGTTAGACAAGGTGAGTGCAGGTAATGAGGACTGCTTGCTTGGGCTCTAAGCCAGGATGAGTTTATAAGGATTTTAAGCTCTGTGCCTGTCTTACTATTTAAACTGTCTTGTACTCCTAACCCAGTTCAACCCTGATGTGCTCCAAGAACAACTTACAAATCCAGCACAGTTGTCGCAGAAAGTGGGCTTCAGATAGGTGGTCTCTTGGAAGTTGTGAGGGAAACCCAGTCCCAGCTTGGAGTAGATGGAGCTGGCCCTCATGAAGTAGGCTGTTATCTCATCCCTGCTGATGAGGCCTTCCCTGCAGGTACATGATAGGCAAGGGTGTGAGTGGGGAGTGGGCTTTGACTTCAGAAACTCACCTTTCCTTCTGTCCTCATGAGGTCATACAGGATGTGTTACCTGATGACTGCTTCCTTGAGCACTCCTCGTAGTAAGGACACAGGACAGCAACTAATAAGTAGGTGAGGCAGCATGACTCATTTACAGAGTTGTTCTTTGGCCAACCTAGGTTTTCCTAACTAATTCGACCACTGTTTACAAGACTTGAAAAGAAGTGCTGTGAGGTTCATATATAGCGAGAGAAGTGCCTGTGCTACATTTCGGACTTTAAACAGTATGTAACTAAAACCTGTTTGTCATTAGTTTTCCTACAGAGAACTGAGAACTTTAATAACCATGAGAAAAGTAAATATGCAAAATGTTAATAAATACTAGCTGTTTTCATACAAGAAGGAAGACTGTTCCTAAGCTGTCATCTTTGTGGGTCTTGACTTGTGTTTAAAAAGCACGCATATTTCATGATTTCATGGTCTCTTCCTACTAAAGGTGACAAGGCCCTCACTTGATGAGTACTCTCTTAGCCCCAGCATTTAGTAATCACTGCATCGACACATCTGAGTTTACAGATTCTTCTAGTGACACACCTATAAACCTGTTCTCACCAGCAGGCTCAGAACCACGTGTTCCTATGTATAAATCCTACCTGTCTTTGTCCATCACACAGAAGGAAAAGGGAAAACTTGCAGCAATCTTTTCAAACTCTTCCTGAGAAATGTACCCGTCTTGATCATGGTCGTAGTTCTTGAAGACAGACTGAAAAAAGGAGATGGTCAGTGATTACTAAAGAAATCCTGTAGCCAAACGTCCGGGGATGAGGCAGACAGGTAAAAGCCTCAGCAGACTGGGAGAGAGGGACATGGAAATGAGCCTCTGCACTGTGGCACAGGTGCACAGGTCACATCTAGGCCTCTGCCATGCTGCTTGGCTATGGTGCACTGCTGGCCCACTTCCACCCTGCCCTTCTCTGCCCTACTGGAAGTGCTTTCTTCCTCCTTTAGTCCTCTGGTCCTCACTGTTCTGTTTGTAGTCTCTGCAGCCCCATGAGAATGAACCATGATAATTAAGACAGAAGTTTGCAAGTGTATGCCTTCTCCAGCAGTTAGCACAGAGAATGGAGTTGGGCATGCTGAGTGCTCAGTTGTCATCTCGTCATCTCTCCTTATGCCAACTGTGCGCAAACACTTACTTCCCTGTATCCTCTGCACCCAAGCCTCCCTACAACTTTTAAACATATGTTCTCTGCTAGGCGTTTAAGAGGAGGCAAACCTGCCCCACAGACGACCAACGTGTGTTGACGAACTGTGCCTCCTGACGGAGACATCTGGCTATAGTAAGAACAGTGGTTCCATGCTTTAACTTCCTGCCTTTGAGTTTGTACCACTGTGCTCTGCTCCTCCTCTTCCCCCCAACACCGAGCTGCGCCATGCCTTGCTTGTCTGCCAAAGCAGCGGTACTTACATCCACCATCCTCTGCACATGCTTGCTAATGGTCTTTGGGTCAGGTTTGGGAGATACTCCAGAGGCCCAGTCTACTACTACCGGTGGCTTTGATGGTGTTAGTGGCTAAAATGAAATTCAGAAGAATCTCTGTGACAATAATGCACTATTTATGGCAACTTACAGCTCTTTCCTTTCTCACTTTCTAGTAGTTACATCTTTAGATTGCTCCCAATTGTGCAGGGGCAGGGAGTGCACTTGTAATTGAAATCTATATTGATGTATCAGCTGACACAGGCATTGTACTTTACAGTTTCCAAAGTGTTCTTCCCATATGTTATCATGAAGTATAGATCACTTAAAATTCTCAGTGCACCCGAGTCCAATCCCTTGTCCATTAAACCTTTTGTCAGAGCTAAGGTTGGTTGACCTCTTGTCACAAAGGGTAAAGTGCATCATTTAAATTTTCTCTCTGTTTGCTAGAGACTTTAATAGAGTGGTAGATAAGGAAAGAACTAGTTAAAAGGCAGCAAGATACAGGAAAAAACAAAAATCAGAAGCCTGGACAAACAGAATCCATTCCTAAATGCTTGAGACATTCCTAAATTAAAATGTGTTCTAAAAACAGAAGTTAGTCTTTCCATTGAAAAGCTTCTAACACTTTGAAAGTAGAGCCTGCTGAAGGGTTCCAGTGAGCATTTTTCATTATAACAGGAAGCTAGATTTGGATCATTCTGGATAGAGGCCATGGAATTTAGCCATCTGAACAGGTAAAGTAGATTTCTTCTCTTCCCTGAAGTACCTCTGGTTTGGGGTTGGGAGGCTTCCTAGTAGATGGGGATGATTTCATCCCCTATAGGAAAGGCAGGGCCAGATAATCTGTGAAGTTCCTACTGTGTGCAATGGACAAGGTGGTCTTTTAAGAGATCAAAAGACCCAGCACTCTGTTCTTTGTGACACAGAATGTCACAGGATAATGAGGCTTTTCTGTCTACCAAGCTAGAAATCTTCAGAAGTAGCTTCTGATTAGTATGCATGTTGTCATTATCAACAAATCATAGAAGGGAAACCAATTCATGTAGGGACACTTTAGCAGGAGAGGGTGTCATGTCTCATCATACTATGTCTGTTCTCTGCTTTGTAGCCCATTGACAGTCCAGCACTCCTCACACTTACATAGCTACTGTTCACACAGTCATCCCTCTAACTAGATTGCATGTTTTTATAAACAGGAAGAGTGTGTCACATCACAGTTCTATTGAGCTTTCTTTTGTTCCTCGCTCAAGGCTGGGCACAGTAGAAACAAGAAACTTATTAAAGTGAATTAAGTGTATTCCTTAATGTGAACGAACTTAAGCAGCTTGTACAGTGCCATCCACACACGAGCGTCTTAACCTGAGAAACTCACGGGGGCTCTGTGGTTCCTCGGCTCCCGGGCATAGGAAAGCTCATAGATCTCATCTTCAGTGTAGTAGAGATCCAGGGACAACTGCAGACCAAAGCAGAATGGTGTGGTTTATCTTGTAGGTGCTTAGCAAAGTTTGGTTGATATAATGCCCGCTACTGCAATAGGGAAGCACTAGTTGTTATTGAGATGTTTTGAAATTCTGGAGAAGTCCCAAGATGCCCTCTTGAGTTACTATCAGTTACGTAGAGATGATGTCTGAGGCAGGCACCTGCCAAGGTCAGCTGGCTAAAGTGAAAGGACTAGAACACCAAGATTGGACACCAGGCCCATCATAATACTCCTGCTCCTGGGAGGTGGGAAGAGGCCACAGTCATTGTTCCATTCTGCACAAAGAAGCAGGCTAAAATGTGTATAATTTTGAACTTAAGTTAGACATCATCCCAGAGACTAGGCCCTGCAAGTTGCTTACAGGGGAGGAGACAAAGAGACTTGAAGAGAATAGGCCACAGTCACACTGGTGAACTACAGAATTATGGGACTGGAAGGAAGCCCCACCCATCTCATCCCACATCCAAAATGCAAACTGTGGTCTCCAACCACTGAGGAGAGCTCCCGCACACGTGGCCTGAACCTCACCGTGAGAAGGTGCACCAGGTCCTTGTTGGCCTCCAGTGGTGGGGCTACCTCCTGCAGCTGGACCAGCTCATTGATGTGATTGTACAGGGCCAGCAGCTTGTGGACATTCACCTTCCCGTCCTCCAGATAGTCGGGCATGGCTTCATACAGGGAAATGAGGTCCTTGAGGTGCACCCCCAGGATGGGGATCTTGAAGTGGGTGCACTCCCCGTAGGCTCGCCGGTAGTTGTCATAGTTTCTGCAGGAGGACAGCAGCTCAGTCATCTCTCCCAGAACCTGCAAAGCGGAAGGAAGACCAGTCAGTGGCACCCGCTAGGCAGGGTGCTTCCTCATGGCCTGCCACAATTCCACTCCATCCCTGATTTGTCAGGTAGGGGTGATGCATCGTAAAGGTAGATTGCAACTCCCCAGTTAAGACTTTAGCTGTGTCAAATGCCACAGAGTATGTTTACAAACAAGATACTTGTTTTCACTGCATGGCTTAATTTAAGTAATGCTTGACCACTTTTATATTACATGTTTCAAAAATAATAAACTTACATTAGGATTTTAATTTCTGACAGAAAATTAAAAAGGTACAAAGTCTAAAGAATGGGTCCCTCTCACTCTAAGCCAGGCAGTTCCCTTCCCCAGTTGTCCTTGGAATGCTTCCAGAACCACGGCATAAGATCTAAAGTATGACGGAAGAGGTTTTGCCTTTGTGGCTGTTGTGGGGGCGCACACATTTTAAGTATGGGGCTGCTATTATCTACTGTGTGACACTATTCTGTATGAGGTGCTCTTGAGGATGCTGAGATCAGGCCCATGTCTGCCCCAAAGCACGTGAGATTCCATTTATAGACTGCAACCCTAAAGATATCAAATAGGCCAACTCCCAGCAAAAGACACAGGAGAGGTGGCAGAGGTCCTATGGAGCCCTTCATCAGAGCTCACACCCTGCCTGCCTTGCCCTGGGTGTGGGAACCGCTGCTTGACAGTACAGAAAATGGGATCCAGATCAGGAACTTTCCAAACACACAGTTCACAGAACCTCACTCCCAAGGGTAAAGACCAGCTTTCTCAGAAGCAGAGATGGAGTGAAAGACTGCTGATGGTGTTTCCTACAGCATAACCATTTTACACTGCTCCAAATTCTTCTGATAAAACTGGTTTAAGAAGTATCATTTATGCACAGTGAAGAACTTGAGATTCAGAGCCTGCTCCCTTGGCCACTCTAGGTGGCCAGAGTGCCATTTCCTCATCCCTCCAGCAAACGCTGCAGCTGAGTGTCATGTGTGAGTGCACAAGGCAAGACATTCGTGGCACAAGTGACTTCCGTGGTTCAACCCTGGATTACTAACTCATCTGCAGACTGCCCTGAGAATCAAGCAGCTGCACACAGAAGCATTGCTGCTGGGGCCTGAAGAAGGGGGGGAAGCTCCATTCCATGAGCGTGATACGGTGTATTCCTCTCCAGCCATTCCCCTCTGTTACCTGGACACCTGAGGAACATGCGAGTTCTTCCATCTGGTCTCAGCAGAACTGTCAGGAGTGAAAGGTGACTGAAGAGTCCCACATTGACCAGACCACTGGAGGGCATGTTTGTGTGTGTGTGTGTGTGTGTGTGTGTGTGTGTGCGCGCGCGCGCGCGCACGGCAGTGGGACTTCCCAGAGGCCCCACATACAGTAGCAGGGATAATTAATGAGAGGCTCCCTAAAAGGAGGGCAAGGGCCTGGGGTAAAAGGAGAGGGGCACACGGCATGTACCTCACATGCCAGCTTGGGGCAGTTGTGGTTGGAAGATAGCAAGATCTGCTTACATGAGGTGAAAATGCTCAGCAGCGCAATCATTAGCAAGTCCAAGCCATACATAGCTGCATTTATAGCCTCAGCAAATCAGCCCTAAGTCATAAAGGATTAAAAGTATATGTTGTAATATCCAATAAATAATGTAGGCAGGTAAATGGGACACTTAAGGAAAATAGGCCTCAGTGGTGTCTGAAGAGCCTATCTCAACTTTCTGGGAATATTCAGGTATCCAGAAAGTCACTGTCCAAGTGTTCTGGTGAGCTGGAACATGCCACAATGTAATTACACTCAACACCAAACTGAACTATGGTTAGCCAAATCGCTGTTCCTTTTGAGGAAAAATTTTAGAGCAAGGAGCTGGGGCAAAGAAGTCAGTAAGATGGTGACTGAATGTGTGGCGTCCTATGAACATGAAGAGGCACACCTCGTTTCAAGTGGCCCAGCAGGTAAGGGTGTGGTGGCAGTGTCTGAAGCGAGACAGAACCGTGTGCGCCCTGTAGTCCGCCCACGTGGTGGGTTTCCTAGGGGCTTCCTCCCTGTTCTTTTGCTTGGCTGACAAACGTGTGTGGTGTGTAGATGCTGAGCTTCTCCTCAGGGAGAAGATGGTAACACTGACCTTACTGATTTCATGTGGAACATGGGAGCTGGTCTCCTTGAGCCTGGAGATGGAGCTGTGGCACAGCCCACCTATCACTGCCATCAGCGTGTTGAAGTTCTGCAGCTGGTGGAGCTTCTGTGACAGGAAACAGCAGGGTCACTGCTCGTTAGTTACACGGTGCTCAGAGGCCGTTGTGAGGCTTCCCTAGGCTATGTGGGTAGGGATCAGGAGTTGCAATTCTTTGGTCACTTCTCCCTTTCAGCTGAATTCCAGACCAGTGCAACCTAAATTGACCAGGTGTTACCTCTCTGTCTCTTTGTTGTAGCAAATCTACCATCTCTATCTTGGTTTCCAGGAATCCCCCTGAGCACTTGTTTAACAAAGTCTGCTTGATCTGAACCCTGACTCCCTGGATCTGGGGGTGGGTGCAGAAATCTGTAATGCTAGCTTACCTCTAATGACTATCACAGCAGGTGGCCCATGGACCATACTCTGAGAAACATTGGTCTAGACCATCCAGAGTTGGAAAAATGTGTCATTAAGTGTAATACTTCATTTCCTTTACCCAAATTTACCGGGCTTATTTTTGAGGGTAAGGACTTTGTCTTATTCCTTTGTGCAATGCCTGGGTCTACACAGAACAGTACCAGGGACAAAGAAGCTAGACTGTCTGCCCCTCAGACGTTGAACCCCGCCATTCATCTCAGCACAGCACAGCACAGACTCAGACCTAAGAAAACCCCAGCTGGGCTGACTCCAGTGAAACTCAGACTTGCCTGCCCTTTTACCATATGGGCCAAATTTGGGGAAATAAGGCAAGCATCTTCCGAAGAAGGTTAGAGATCTAAGCAGATCTAAAACTGAATCCCCATCCTGAGATGCCCTCCACATTGTCCTTGGGTGGGAAAATAAAAGTTACTATATCTTGATCTGAGGATAGTTAACATCACTGTGGCTCAGGAGGGGAAACAGTGCTCATCGATAGATTATTATGGGAAAGGGAGATAGGTAATTCACCTCAAGCCCAGGCCCGCAGTCTTACTAATCCAGTAACTCACCTGAGCCACCTGGATGAACTTGATGAAGACTTCTGCCCGGAGCTGGGGGGTGGGGCGGCTGAGCACCATCAGCTGTACCCACTGGGAAATGCCGTTGCACAGGGCAATGGATCGTTCCATGGTGGGGTTCTCTTTCACACAGCTATTTACAAGGTAATTTTGATAATCAGAGAACTGGGGGGAAGAAAACAACTGTCAGGACAGTGCTCTGGTATTCTGGAAGATATGAGGAGCAAGTCAGTCAGCTCCGCTCAGTGATGGCTGGAGCTGCTAGGGGGCAGGTGAACCTGGGACCTTTCTCCTGTATCCTTGCTACTGGGCCACGAGGAATGATGAGAGAGGGCAGTCACATCAAAATTCATTAGACAGGATGGGATGCTACATACTAACTAATCCAAACATTGTATGTGAGTAGATACTGATCCTGCCCCTTCTAAAGAGAAAAAATAATTCCCCTAATGGAAACAAATCTTTCTCTTCTCAGCTGTTATATTAAAAAATAATAAAATCTTCCCTATTCAGGACAGTGATGGAATTGTTATAAAGATCAAACAAGATAATGTGTGAAAGCACTTTGAACATGGGAGTGAGTACTAATGAGACAGTTATTACCTCATGCTGAGACAAGCCTGTTTGGATTTCCTACTCACCAACCTAGACAATGGCCAAGAGATAGGGGAAAAGGAGATAGGGGATAGCTAGACTTGGTTAGTGACCATTGTTTCCCAATGTGACAATGGCACTGATTATGACTGACCACAGAACAGCATGTGTGAAGCTGGAAGTATCCCAGAAGATGCAGTGACGGTTGTAGCTACATCCCTCATGACAGTGTAGTCAAGAGGTGGAGCAATCCACTCTCCTCTCAATGCTGGGAGGCTTGGCGCTGTGCCCAGACTGAACTCTTCCCTTGAAAGCAGCTGTGGCCAGGTGACATGGTGAGCCATTGCAATGTGAGTGGAAGTGGTGTAACTTCGGAGCGAAAGACTTGAGAGCCAGTGAGTGGTTGCCATATGGGCTTTCCACCGCTGCAGAGTAGAGGTGGTGGGAATTCCTGACTGGATGAAGCCTCCATCACCTGGTCCAGAGCCACTGACCAGCCTCTCTGACCTGTGTGAGACAGTGTGAGTGTGTGTGAGCGTGTGTGTGTGTTGGAGAGAAAGTTGTTTAGAAAAACTGTTTACAACTACGTAGGAAAAACAAAGTCTTCGCCAAAGAGACCAGGCACTCAGAAGAAATGCAGTCTCACGCTTTTGTTTTCATTTGCAGGAGCTGGCTCAGACTCCTGCCCTGCACTGATTTTCCACTTCTGCCTGCAGGCCCTGGCCGCTCCTTGCCAGCAGAGATTGGGTTTCCAGGGTGATAAAGGACTCCTTTCAGTGCCTCTCTGCTCTGACTGGTGTCCTGCCCCATGACAGGGAAGCATTGCCAAATGGAAACTCCCCAGATGGAGTTTCACCACAGGGTCTGGGGTTCTGTCTGAGTGGAGCCCATGAGGGGACTTGGGGGTGAGTGGGTTAATGCTTGGAGACTTATTTCCAAGTGGAAGCTAGGGGCATCTGGCTGGTTGGCCAATCAGGATGGAGGAAGTATGAAGTAATCTCTGTAATCTCCTTCTGACACAACCAGGCTCAATTAATTGGTGCTGAATGACTGAGACACACAGTTGTAGCCCCCAACTGACTAGTAAGCTCTGTTAACCTTGTTAGCCCTCTGGGCCTCCCTCCCCACACCTGGCCACACAGGTTGTTGTGAGGAATGCACAGGGCAGCTCTCTCTTCCAAAGTGAAAGGCTGCACCTGCTGGTCGGGGTGGAGCCTGAGTGGAGTGAGGATGTCACTTCTCAGGAAAGTGTGTTGCCCATGAGGGTCTGCTGGCATCACACAAGGTAAATGGAAGCCTTCTCCCTTCATCTCTCCACCACCAGCACCTTTGCCTGGCTGCTAAGGACACAGCGTGGTTCACCTCTGCGCCATGTCAGCACCAGTTGAGGAGTTTATTTGTATTCTAGGCTAGACCAGTAGCATCTATTTTATTTTGGGATTTTCCCAGAGCCACTCAAAGCCTACCTTAGAATGAATTTAAACTCTTTGCGACATAGCTCCATTTTTTCCTTTTTGTGAGGAAGATTAAAAAAATAAAAACCTGTCTGGAAGCCTACCAGTTACAGAGATAAAGGATGCATGTGTGCAAGGGTTCACATAAGACCCCAGTACTGCAACCTGATACCTGGGATGAGTGCTGGGGTGGAGCAAGGCAAGGCTGGTGTGGAGGGTGTAACATGGGAGAGAACAAGGTAGGGCAACCAAAGAAATTTAGATGGTACTGATTTCCCAGAATGCATGAGGTATGCCGGGCAAGCCCCCAGCTCTGGGGGATCTGGAGGTGAGGAGGTAGATAGGGTGTTGAATGTCTGCATTTTTCAGAAATCTCCCCTTGGTACGTACGGATATCCTTCGAAAGGACTTGAACTCTAGGTAGGTGAGGTGCTCAGACAGCTCTTCTGGTTCCAGGTGGTCAAAGAGCAGGGAGACTTTCCGCTTCTTGCTGGTGTTTGATTTGATCCTTTGAGTAAGTTTCCTGGACCAGTCACGTGCATTGCTTTTGTGGGAAACATGAAAGGGAGAAGGGAAAAGAATAAGCAGCAATCGCTTCTCAGAAGTCAATCCCTGAGTGTCATCCACAAGAACATGGAAAATGCTGTCAACTGGCTTTGCATGGCTCAACATTGCAGTAGTAGAGACCCCAAATTCATCTCCCCACAGGCAGCAGCAGGAGTGAGCCTTCTGAGTGCACCCAGGCATGGGAAAGATGAGTTACTGCAGGCAGTGGGAAGACAATCTGGGCTTCCCTTCCTTCCCCCCTCTCCATCTCCCCTTCTCGAAGTCCCCTGCCTGGGGTCCTGGCTCTTCTGTCTGCTCCCTGGAGTGTGCGATTTCTCCATGGCTCCCGTGTGGCCCTTCTTCTCATGAGGGTGACGGGGCACTACCTAGTTGTAAATCTCAAGCCAAGACCTCGCAGAACCCCAGGGAGCAGACACCATGGGGCAAGGAATCACAAGTAGGAACATGTGTTCGTTCATGGTCCTCAAATGTCCCCAGCCACTGAAATGACCAAGGATACGTAACTATTTTCCTCGTGATTGCCCCCATGCGTCTCTCCTGAGGAGGAAGAGGGAAGCATCCAGTTTTGAAAAACAGCAGATTACAGATCTGTCATTTTCCACACCGGGGTTCCTGAGCACCTGGTCTCCAGATAAAGGTGTTGTGTGCTGAGCAGAGCTTGGGAAACGCTACAAACCCTCCAGTGAGCCTAGTACAGACTCTAAATTGCACCACACAGGGAAACCTTAACTCATTGTTCCTCCAATACATGGAGTCAGATGATAGTTCACAGACTGTCCTGTGTAGAAGTCAGCTCGGAAACCCTGGGATAGAAGACCCAGGTTTGAGAACAGCCCTGGGAGCCAGCCTTATGATGAAAGATGGTTACTCTGAAAACGCTTGTCTTTCTTGTGGAATTCTAAGCAGAGAAGTACAGAGAACCCAGTGGAGAGATTTATTTGGGCTCCGGGGTGGGGTTTTGAAATCATTTCTTGTGGCCGTTGCCTGGTGAATTCTGAACAGGCCCCAGACTCCTGCTTTGGCCCTGCCACGCCGTCACAGCGTAAGTGCTAGGCTGTGTACCAGCTGATCTCTAGAGGGACTTCAGGTCCAGAACGCTGTCTTAGGACTGGTGTTACTGCAAAATAGCTGGCCACATGGTGAAGACCTCAGCCTACAGTGTGTCCCCCCCCAAAAAAATTAGGACATACTCCTCCATAGGGGGCCAGTTGCATGAATAAGAAATCCAAGGGATATGGGCTGGTGGGGTGGCTCAAGTGGTAGAACTCCTGCCTAGCTCTGGGATTTGAAGCCTTGAGTTCAAACCCCAGTGGCACCAAAAAATAAAGGAGTAACATGAAACACTCCCGAGGTGCTGGTGGTCCATGTTCACAGACACCCATCCATGCCACAGTTCCTCCCCGTTATGAGTTCAAGTGCACCTCCAGCATTCATGCAAAAGAAGCGAGGCTGCGAGGCACCTGCTCTCCTGTTAGATGTTGAGTGCTCCCTGGGGGGCATCTGGACCTGGCCTGTCCCAGGTTCTTCTGACCACTGGGAAGGAGCCGCCCAGCACAGTGGCTGGGGCTACGGGAGGAAGGGTTTCCATAGATGACCAGAAAGCTAGACACTCACATCTGACTTGTGTCGATCAGGCGGCAGTGCAGCTCCTCCCCAGCTCCTTTCACCAGTTCCTGAAATTCCTCCATGACGTTTGTCAAGCTGGCATCCATTTTGAACATGATCCAGAATTCTGTTATCCAGTACCTATGAGGGGGACAGTGGATGAAAAACCACAATGCAGCCGTAAAGCCCAGGACTCACAGCTGGGTGGGCTCCCACAGGAATGGGAGGCTTCAAAGAGGACTTAGAAAAGACAGAGGCTGATGTGCCCTTCAGTGAAAAAGCTGGAGGCAGGGAGGCTGACGTAGGGGAGAAAACCATTCAGTGACTGCCTTCAGTGTCTCCACACACAAAATGCTCTGATGGGACAAAAAGCAAGTCACTATCAAAGGAAGCAGGACAAGATTTAGAAATGAGCACTGCATCAGAGTTAACTGCAGAGGCGAGAATGGAGACAAACCAAATGCCAAAAATGGGGCAAGGTGCCTGCAAATTATACTTTATCACATACCAGAATATTACACGGCCATGAGAAATAGTATCACAGAAGTTTTTAAAAATTAGAGGTTTTCATGGCAGAAAATTAAATGAGAAATGATAAAACATAAAACGTATTTTTATCTCAACTACCTTAAAAAATCTATGTGGAAAAACCCCAAAATATATGAAATGAGTTGGATGTGAGTGACTGTTAACATTGTTTTCTGAATTATCAAAATGTACAATGAGTTGTATTAATTTTATAATTGGGAATAAGATTTTTCTCTGTATTCCTACGCCATTTGACATTAAAATGCTAAATGTAAAGCTGAGAAAAAAACACTGATATGAACTCAAAACTCAGATACAACAGGAGAAATCCATGTGCTGTGTGAGGGAACTTCCAACCTGATGCTTGTCCTTTTGGGTCTGTCCCCTATGGATGGCAGGCAAGCCCTCCCTATGGCCTTTCATCTCACCCTTACCCCAGCACAGACCCCAGGCTCATGTAGAAACGTACCTCACAAAGTAGCAGATCTTCAGGCAAAGCCCTGGAGAGTTCCTTGCCAAGGCGTCTTTATAGGTGGGCCGTGGTTAAGGGAAGTAGACCCAACAACCTCCATCTTGGAGAATTTGCTCTAACAGCCCTGAAATAAGGGAGGGGCCCAGGACCCCTTGCCTGTGCCCAAGAGACTAGGAGTCCAACTGAGTCAACGAGTTTAAAAGAATAGGCCCTTTTTGTCTCTTAAAATGTTTCCAGTGACTGATATATACAGTGAAATTTGTGTAGTGAGTTAGAGCAGGAAGAAATATATACACATATATATTGACACATAATGAATATTGGGATATTTATGTACACTGGATATTTGGATATACATTTATATATGGATATACATATGTATATTTATATATAAATGGATATACACTTATAGATGTCCAAATATACTGATAAGACAATTGAGACAATACTGTGAAAACGATAACACACAGACACCTCACAGACGTGGGCAGACAGCCCAAAGCATAATCCAAAATGAACCTGGGATCATCTTAAAGGCTTCTTAGGAATATTCCAAGAACAGGAAGGAACAGAAGATTCTCATTAGGTTTGCATGTGTTAGAGACAGATATTCAGTTAAGAGTCAAAGAAATGAGAAATCCAACCCAGGGACGAGCCTGGTGTGCCCTGGCAACCAGGCCCTCTTTCTCTTCTAAGCACGGTGACCTAAAACTGCAATTCAGGGTTCAGTGAATTCCAGCTGAGTCCACGAGAGGAATCCAGTGAGCTCTCAAGTAACTGGGGTGGGTTTGTGTATTTTAATCCTTGGAAAATTTCACATTCAGTGTAGGAAGGGAGAAGAGAGTCATAAGAGGGAAGAGAGTCAAAAGGCATCGGTACATTGTGGAGTTTCCGATGCCTGTAACGGTTAGGAGCAGATGAGAATATAACCTTGAAATTCTGATTTGGAACAGATCATGAAGTGCTTTAGATGTGGTTTTAAATTGAAACCTTACTAATTTTAGGCACAGCTTTGGAACATCTATTGTTTATAACTTTAATCCATTAGAGTTATAAAAACTACTTAGAATTCAGGAAGGCATCTGAAGATATGCCAAACATAAGATGTGCAATTGTAGTTTAAAATCACTGGAGATATTTAATTGGCTAATATTATTCAAATTTACCATTTTCCAAGTTCCCTTAAAATTTCCCACTGAAACAAGCTAGACTTACAAGGAGTAAGATCTGCAAGATAAACCTGAAAACCTAACATGATTATAAAATTTGAAATAACTTATTTGAAAAATTAATTTTTAATGCCTAGAAAATCCTTGAGATCAGAGCACCAAAACTACTAACCAAAACCCAAAACCTCACACATCAACAAGGTAATCAAAATAAAAATAAGCCCATGCCATGAGCACACATGAGACAAAAGGTGCTGATTTCTGCCTTTCTCCAGGTGAGAACAGGAGGCCTGAGGATGAGCTGGTTTCACCTGTATGCATTTCAGTGCATTGGACATATTCTAAGTAAACATTTTTTAGATTCTATATTATTATTATTCTACCTGTTAAAACTTTCATTCTTCCTTATTAAAGGGAAGGCATACAAAAAAAAATTTTTTTTTTTGGTGGTACTGGGGTTTGAACTCAGGGCTTCAAACCTGTAAGGCTCTACTGCTTAAGCCATGCCCCCAGCCCTTTTTGCTCAATTATTTTGGAGAGAGGGGCTTGATTTTTGCCCAGGATGGCCTGGACTGCTGTCTTCCTGTTTTACCCTTCCCATGTGGGTGGGATGACAGGTGTGAGCCTGAGATGGGTCTTGTGAACGCTTTTGCCCAGGCTAGCCCAGAACTGTGAGTCAGTCCATCTCAGCCTTTCAAGTAGCTAGGATGACAGGCGTCCACAGGTGCCCAGTTCACATTTCTCTGTACAGCAGAGCATACACTTGAGGCAGGCTAGAAGTGGGGAAAGTTTGGGGCTCCTGAAGGTTGCCTGGGGATGGCCAGGTCACCCTCACCTGGCTGGGAACTGCCCGTGCCCCTCCCCACTTGGCACCTGAGAAAGAAAAGCATGCTCTCTCTGCCAGAGGGCTCCACCTGTGCTCACCATGCCCTCTGCCTTTTCTTCCCTTTCCTCACCTGGCAGGATAGGTGACTCCCCGTTTTTCAATAAAGCTATCCTACCTCACCCCATCCACGGACTCTGTTTGGATTTCTTCATTTGGAGCACAAAAACCAGGATTTTCTGATCACAGACTGCACCAGTGCCGGTAACGTATTCAACATGGTGACTCACTGTGGGCTTACCTTCCTCTCCCTACTCCCCCAGCCAGCCCTTCAAATGTCTACTGACAGTGCCGTTGTTCTGCATGGGGCACAATGCCATGGTGCAAACCGTTCGGTCTATTGAGGGCTGCGCCTGGGGTGAGCTCCGAATGCAGTTCAGAAGGGTGGGGCTTCCTGGGGTTGTCAGAGCTCCCAGGCCACTGCAAAGACAGTCCCCAAGTAAGGCAGGAGATTAAACAAAACTCCCAGCACGGCAGGCAGAGTGGTTAAGAGTATTTGCTGGAAGTCTCAGATGTCACACCTTTCAGCACATCTGACCTATTCAATGCATGTTTTTAAATCTCTCTCTCAAAGGAAAACAAGAAACCATTTGAGCCATTTAACTAAAAATTCCATGACTTCCAGGTCAAAAATGGAAACAAGGCTGAAAGGAGAACTCATTTTCCTTCAGTGCTTAACCTGGCTCTCCACTATAGTCTTACTTCTCACTCCCTTCTAGAACACCTTCCTCCACCCTAGGTTACTTCTTAACCTAAGTAAGCCAAGATATCTGACCTAAATACAGCTCTGGTAAACACAGAAACAGCAGCCCAACATTTTGTAACCACAGCAACGCATCATGTCTGGTCCTCTACCATGAGGTGGCCACTAAGCGAAGAGAAACAGAGGTGAAGAGGCCTTGGTCCCCCAGGGATGGTCAGTGGAGGAGATGGCATGCCAACAGAGAAACGCCTTAAGAACATACTCACAATCCTAGCTACTCTGGATGCAGAGATCTGGAGGATCACGTGCCAGGCTAGTCTGGGAAAAGTTAGTGAGATCCCATCTCAGGCAATAGATGGATGTGGTGGCACACACCTGTTATCCCAGCTACAGGGGTGGGGAGGGGGGAGAGTATAAAATAGGAGGCTTATGGTCTAGGCTTGCCCTACTTCAAAAATAAGCAACGTAAACAGCTGCAGGCATAGCTCAAGTGGTAAAGCGCCTGCCTAGCAAGCATGAGGCCCTGAGTTCAAACCCCCAGTACCACCAAATAACAAAAAAATTCATATCTTTCTCAAAGTAATTTGTAACTTCATATTTTGCAATACCTGGGAAAAGTTTTATACTGCTAGCAGAGTCCTAACCATAGCAGGGAGCCCCAAGGTTCTACAGTTTATTTGAACCATCAGCTACAAAGATCAGAGTGCGTAAGCATTGCATTGCAAAGCTTACAGACTGGAGTTCAGGTGGATGAATTAAATTAGCCAACAGAATACCTGCAGCCATAGACTTCCAGCAGCTTCTCTAGCAGATTACAGCCAGGCTACAGAGAGGAGAGGCATGCTTTGACTTAAGCAGCATAAAACCCAAGTCAAAGAATTAAACAGATTTCCAATCAAGAAGACTGTCTTAAAACCGTAAAAAGGGAGAAGGGCTGGGAAACTCAGAGAGGCTTCACAGCAGGGTCATGAAAGAAAGAGTTGGCCAGGATGAGGGAGCAAAGGGCTTCCAGGTGCAGGAACTGTAGGCGGGTCCCCTGAGCTCTGGAGCCTGGGGCAGTGAGTGTGCAGGGGAGAGGTTCCTGTGAGGGGAGGGCTGGGGCCAGGCCATGGGGGGACCTGCACTGCTAGAATGCTATAGCTGGCAGAGGCTCAGAGGCAACGGCCTGTCCGATGTGTCTTTAGGAAAGAACTCCTGGAACAGATAAGTAGAAGTGGGCCGGGAAGATGAGAGGGCGGAGGCCTAGGGGAGAGAAGATGGGGGCTTGAGCTGAGGCACTGGCCTGGGACTGGAGCAAAGAGACCAGACCAGTGTCCTTGCTGAGGGAGAGACCTTGGGGCTGGGTGGTGGGGAAAGTCAAGACTGCTTCTGGCCTTTCTTCAGGTAATGGTGTCAGTGCGGAATTAATGAGGCGGTAGTGGGGAAGGGAGGTGGGGATCAGAATGTGCTAAGTTTGAAGCATCAGTAGGCCTTCACAACGTGGCTTAGGTGAAAGAAAGCGACTTGAAAGTCATCAGGAGCACAGTGCTGGTGAGAAGCCACCCACAGAGAGGCACTGAGGTGGGAAGAAAGCCAGATGCCATGCCTGGGTGCAGGGAGTACGCAGAGAAGGGGCCAGGTGAGAAGCTGGGGACTAGGGTCAGGAGGGCCAAGGGCCAGCTTGGGAGCCCATGGGGACGGCCTGGGAGAATGGGGCTGTCAGAGATGTCCCACGCTTGCTTCGGGACATCAGGATGGAAGAGGACTGTGGGGCCAGGGCACTGGGAGGTCCTGTCACATCAGAGGTAAGTGTGGGGTTGGGTTGGCGCCGGGTTTGCGTGAGGAGTAAGAAGGAGTAAGGAGACAGTGAGCACAGACTGTCTTAAGACATTTTACATCAATTTTCTAACCCTGACAACAGAATGAAGACAAAACAGAGTTTATTTTTAGGTTAGGGACACTTGAAGGTGAGCCACACACCACAGAGAGAGGATGGGCAGGGTGGAGTGGCCACTTTAGGGCAGCACCCAGTGGGACACCAAGGGCAGGCACCACAGGTACAATTTAGTCCTGAGGGCAACCAACTTATTTTTAGAAGGAGAACTTAATGACTGGCATGATTTACAATCAGTGGTACACAGAGTTAATAAAATTAACAGACACAGCGAGTTGGTTTTACTATCGTTTTTAAATCCCTGCAGGCAACACACCCACTTATTATCTGCGCCCTCATTTCATGGCCTTCTCCCAAGGTTCCACCTTTGCCTCTTGGGAACATGGCTTCGAGATGGGAGAAAAAGATTCCTCTGTGCATTTAAAGCAGGGAGTCAGTCCTGATGGCTTTTAAAGGATGAAGTACTCTTTTCTGTGTACCAGCAAATGAAATGGGGGAGTGAAGAGCCTGGCAAAGGATTCCTGCAGCCACAGTCATGACAGCCAGTCCCCTGGTGTCACCTGCCTACAGCACTTTTCTCCTGGGGACCTGCTCATAGTGTCGCCAGCAAGAGGAGAAAGCAACTACTTTCCCCACCCTGCTTGCTCATGTGCACAGGCAGGGGGACACCTGGCAGGGTTCTGCTTGGTGCATACTCAATGCCTCTGCCCCAGGCAAAAAGGCACCAGGCAATTCTCTCCAGATGCTGTGGCGTCAGGAAGCCTCTTCAGAGCCTGGGGAAGGTGGATGAATTGGACAGGAAGCTAGGCACCACTGGAGTCATGCTGGTGACCTTACCAGCTTGTACAAGTTGAATGTGACAATTCTACAGAAAGAGGAGTTTTTACTTGGAAGAGATACTGATGGCTACTATGCTCAACCCCAGGAGCAATCAGCATAAATAATACTGCCCCCCAAATCGACACACAAACACATACATTTACACATATGCACGCATGCACACATTCACCACACTCCTGAAAGGACATCTGAACCCATTTAGTGCTTGGGTTTATTCCAAACCAATTAAAATAAAACCATATTGATGGGTACAGTGGCTCACAACTGTAATCCCAACTACTCAGGACATGGAGATCAGGAGGATCATAGCCTGGGCAAAAAGTTAGTAAGACCCCCTCCTCCCCCCGCCATCCCAACCAATAAGCTACACAGGAAGCCTGAATAGAATTGTGATCCAGGCTGGCCAGGGTCTAACTGCAAGACCCTATTCCAAAAATAACTAAAGCAAAAAGGGATGGGGGTATGGCTCAAGTGGTAGAGTGTCTGCTTAGCAAGTGCAAGGCCCCGAGTTCAAACACTGGTACCGCCTAACTAAACAAAGGAGCACACTTCAAATCTCAAGCAATTTTGGAATGCATCCCACTGGGGGGGTCACCATTGCCATGGTCAAGGATATAGGGCCATCACTTTCTGGAGTAGGTCCGCAGAGGAGATGAGGATCCGGTGCATGGTCAGCATGACTTGCAGCAGTTGGTTACTTCGACACAGGTTTCCATCTGCATCTGAAAATACAGAGAGCAGGATGTGAGTCCAGCTAAGAGAGGTCACCGCTGGGACACAAGACAGCCCTCTGTTACCCTGGGGGCGGAGGGCAGGGTGCCCTGCTGCCCAGCACCACACATCCCTGTTTCCTGGCTTCTCTTGTCTCCTGCCCCACTCTCCCTCCCCAAATGCCCACTGATGCTCCTTGACCACTCGCCCCAAAGCAGCCTGCACACAGGAAGAAGCCGGCATGAAAGCGAAAGCAGGTCCAGGTCCAGGTTCTGTGGGGCTTGAAGTTTGTGTAATAGGGGCAAGGAGGAACTTCTCTGAGATCAGAATGAGAAGGTGTGCCAGTGTTGGTGGGCTGCCATTGAAATATCTTTCAGAATGTTTACAAACACATCTGAGCACATAAAGACCTTTGTGGTGCTCTCCCCTGGTCTCGCAAGGGACTCATGCTGGTGAGAGGCCCTGAAAGGAAAGCCACCCTAGTTTTATGGTTCCTGTGCCTCTGGAGGGGCCCAAAGCAGGAAGCCCAGGAGCCAACATTCTTCTCGAAGGTGGTCAGTGGGGTGCAACAGTCCACCATGACTTGTAGCAAAGAGCATGGCGAGTTCATTTTCCATCTCACACCTGGTAGCACAGAACACGGTGAATTCCACACACTAGCAAAGGACAGATGATGCCCTCGGAGTGGTTCCAAAAACCGGCTAACATCTGAGTCAGGGGCTGTGCTGGTTTCCCTGCCAGGTCTATTCTCCGGTCTTCACCCAGGCTGCCGTGCTGGCCGCTTCCACTTGGGCTCAGCCTTGGGAAAAATCCACCCGAGGCAGGCGGAGAGGGAAGCAGGCTTGTGTCTCTCACCCTCTGAGCTTTGATGACCCTTCTCTGTCGCTTCAGCGAGTCATCACAATGGATGGCCCTTCCTTCACGGCTGCTGATTACACGCTGTTAATCTCTCTGACTCCTCTGTCCCCCGGATACTAATGACCTCTGCCTGCTGACAGTCTCTGGTGCAGCATGTCTTAAGTCCACTCTCATCTCTGTGAGATGTCTCCTCACTAACCTGTCTTCATTTATAGAAAGAGCGCACGTGAGCCGTCTGTCATCTGCTCTTTAAAGTAAATTATAGGAAAGGGGCTGGCATTTTCCTTCTGTTTCAAGCTTGCTAAGTTGTGGATAAAGGACACAGTGCATTTGACCTGAAGTCACGGTTGATTGAGAAAATGGGTTTGCAGCAGATGGCAGGCTCTTTCTCCTTCCCATCACAAGACCACCAGTTTCGGCACTGCCTGGCTTCCCCTTTACCATGGAAGGCCTGGCCCATGCTCTGCTCTCTCCTGCTCCAGGAGGTCGGTGTGCCACCTGTCCATCTGCAGCATCAACTTTTCTCTCTGCTGGCTTGCTCCCAAACGCATTCGAATGCACCCGTGTGTCTCCTGCTTAAAATGACATGAAGCAAACCTTAAGCTCACATCTCCTCTGGCTTCCTCTGCTTTTCTGTCCTCTTTCAGGAACACCTCACTGTCACCACGGTCTCATCTCCCCTTCACCTTTCAACCTTTCTATTTTGACTTCTGCCTTCATAGTTCCCCTCACGCTTGTATTTCCAAGATTACCATTCAGCTCCATATTCAAATGCAGGAGTCGCTCCTCTGCTCTCATCCTTCTGTCTTACTCACTTGCATCCTGCCCAGCTCAACACAGGCTGCAGGCTCTCCTTCCTGGAACGCTTTCTCCTCCAGCTTCCACCACATTGCACTCTCTCACATCTCCCTCAGGCTCTTTCTGTCTCCTCTTCCTCTGCAGAGCTGTTAAATGTCACCAAGCTCTATGGCTTAGTCCTCCCACTTCTTTTTTCTAACAATTTGAAAAGCTTCTTAAGTTTTAAGTTTAAAAAATTCAGCCTTTTTCTAGAAAATCTCATGGAGGCATTTGACTATAATACCATCTCTGTGCTGACGACTGCCCAACTTGTACCACAGCTGAGACCACCAGGCTTGGTACGTCTAGCAGCCTATTTTGTAAATCCACTGAAAAGACTAAACTCAAACTTGACTCATCCACACGGAATGCCTGCCTTCTCCCTCCAGGTTCCTTCCTCCTCCATTCTTCTCCTTCTCCAGAAATGGCACCAACAACCACCTTCTGAGTTACCCAAATTCACTTTCCCTCACACGCAATCCATCAGGAAGTCTGGGTTCTTGTTCCAGAGTAGACTTGAACCTGTTCACTTGTCTCCATCCTTGTACTCACCCACTGCCCTGCCATGGTGCCACCTCCATTCCCATCCACCTACAACCCACTCTCCAGAGGACAGAACAGCCAGGACAGAGCTCCCAAATCAGGCAATCAGTTCGTGTCCTCAGTACACGTCAGTAAATTCCGCTTGTCCTTGGAATAAGACCAATTCCCTACTGTGGCTCGTGGAGTGCCTTGTGTCCTGGCCTCATTAATACTGCCTGCTTCACTTTGTACCGTATCATACTTCTGTCTGTACCTCGAACACTCCAAGCTCATGCCCACCTGTGGCTTTGCATTTGCTGTTCTCCTTAACGTGGTCTTTTTTCCCTTGGCTCATTCGTGACTCCTAGGCCTCAGCTTGACGGTGACATCTCAGAGTTCTTCCTCAAACTGCCCATGTCTCTTCACAGCACTTCTGATCTGAAGTTATTTGGTTTGTTTTTTAAAATTTTTAACTTCCTGAGTCTCTGATAGAATACCAATTTCATGGAACCCGAGCCTTATCCATGTTCTCCACAACCTACTACTCCAGAGCCTGGAACAACGTTGACACGTGGTGGGACTCACTCGGTGTGTGTTGGGAAATAAGTGCACTGCATTGCAGAGGAAACTGAACATTTTGTGACTCTGGAAATCGAGCTTGCTTTTGCCATTAACTATTGCGTTGAGAATATAATAATATATATATAATATTCTGTGTATGTATAATATACACACACATAGAATATATGCTTATTTTCTTCTTTGGTACAGTTTTCAAAAGAAAACATTACAGTTTGTAAAACTGTATCTTGGCTGAACTTACCCTTGGGTGAGGTAGGATTAGAATTGCTTTCTCTGTTTTCTGGCCCATGTACTTTCTGCAATAATTATCTGTGGTCACAAAAATGCTGTATGACAAATGGTGCTAAACCCAGTGACTTAAAACAGTTGTTATTCACTTTTGCTGGAGCCCCGGAGAATTTGTGAGGGACCAACCAATGCAGACTGGGCTTGGCTGGGGGCCTACTCCACACATCACCTAGCCTCCTGGACTCGCAGGCCAGCAGAGGTGGGCTCTTCTCATGACAATGACAGGATGCTAATGGTAACTAAAACTATCCAAGGCCATGGTGCCACTTCTGCCTTCTCTTAGCCAAAGCAAGTTACACTTCTGAATCTGAAGTCAAAGAGCAGGAACCTCAACGTCAAAGGGAAAACACTAGAAATAGATATGGTTAAAAAAAAAATTGGTTCAATAATGCAATCAAACTGGTCACTGCTACCAGGTGTGGGGTGGTGTTAATGCAACTTTTTAAAGCAACATTTAACAATGGTCAAATGTCTCCCTCTTCATGGAAGCTGTAGGTCGTATTCCAGAATATTACAGCGAAAAGCAGGAGAAACTGACAAAAACTTATTTACGTGAGCGATCGACACAGGCCCTGGCTAATTCCATAAGAACAATACCTAAAACTTGCTACCTTGCTGTCTCTTTGTGGCTGGCTAGCATCTGACCATGGATTATCACACATGAGGAAACGGGCGACATCAGTAACACGGAAAGTTTCGTGTCTAAAAGGGTTGACCACAGAGAAGACTCAGAGACATCAGAATTCTCTTCCAGTATTTGAAGTTCTACTCGTTGGAGAAAGCTTGGATTGTTCTGTGGGGCACAGAGGCAGCACCAAAGTTATAGGAAATAGGCTGGGAATTACATTCCAGTAATGAAAGCGTTCCCATCACAGAGCCTTCTAATGGAGGCAGGAGGGTGACACTTAGTGGGTGGTTTTCTTTTTATGGCACTGGGGTTTGAACTCAGGGCCTCACACTTGCTAGGCAGGTGTTCTACCACTCTACCAGCCCAAGGGTGACACTTGGTAAGTGTATGCTGTTTCTACTTCTAAGAACAACCCAGCCATTGCTCAAAATTTACTGACAAAATTAAAGCGTAGTGAGGCTAAGTAATTTGCTTTAGGTCAAAGAGATAATGGGTGGAGATGCAGGATCTGGTTCTGTGTGAACTTGATTCTAGAACCCCTGCTCTTTCTGTCTCACCTGGCTGCATTCTGCATGGCCATCTGTCAGGATATAGGAGGCTAAAGCCAGGTGAGTGTTAAGAGCACTTCCACTCCTTATGGCTACAGATCCAAGAGCTGTCACTAGTATACCTTGTTGGAGCCAATGCCCATTTGGCAAAATGGCTTTTGTACTCGGGTGAATTTTAGAAAACTCTTGTAATCCTTGGTTGCTTGATCCCGATTTTTGAAAGGTGCCTTTAAGGACCCAGGGTGCCACGCCTATGACTCACAGCCATCTTCACACTTTGCTTTTCTCCCTCGCACCTCTTCCTGCACAGGCTCAGTGGCACTCCCACACTTTGGCTTGTGAATCCCACATGCTCTCTGTGGGGGTGGCTGCTTGAAAATGCTCAAGCCAAGAGAGGATGACTCAATCGATCAGCAAAGGGGGGCAGAGTTGGGGTGAGGGAAGGAGCAGAGAGCAGCACTCTCTCCACCTAGGCAGATACTCCGTGTCCTCCCCCTTCCTGGTTCTCCTTTTCAACAGTGTAGTCACATGCCCTCATTCCCGGGACCACCTCTTTTCCCATATGGCCTTTCACTATGTATGACCACCTCTTCAAAGAGTCGTTCCCTTCCTGCCCTCATCCCGAATTGCATGCACTTCTGCAAAGTGGGTGGACACAGGCGCTCTACTTTCCAGGTGACTGGATTTTATTTTGATATAATTGCTATACGCTGATTTAAGTATTTCAATGAATAATTCCATTAAAAAA